GTCTTGAGGACTAGAGGTCCCTGACAAGGCAGGACCGCATCTGTCACACTCTCCAAGGCTGGGGTGGGAGGAGAGGTGCATTGTTTTTTGGAAGCTTCACCCAAAACAAAAAACCTGGCCTCACATGTTGGGGTGGGAGGTAGCAGGCGTCTCCTTGGAGATCTCCGGGAATCATAGCAAACAGGTGAGTCATCGTCCTCCAAGAAGCTTTGGGGGTGATGGTAGCCTCGAGGCCGCTCGAAGTCCAAGTTGCTGCCTGGATATCGGTTGTAGTAGCTATAGTTTTGCCTGGTGGTCAAGAAGCCCAAAAGAGACAGTAAGGGTCCTGTGAGATCCTGGTGAATGAGACCTGTCCCTTACCTCTGACAGACCCACGTCTACAGCCCTCCCGCCGCCTCCTTAGATACAGTAGGACTAGCTGAGAATGAGGCAGTCCTCAGCTTCACAGAAGGTGCTAGATGGAGGGCACAGGCTGTCACAGGAAGGTTCAGGACAGCAGGCCTGCGACGAGTGAGGTGCTGGTGGTCTCCCTCCTTCGGCAGCCTCAGACCCAGGTCAGATGTGATTGTAGGTGCTCTGCAAGCCTGACTCTCACCCACTCACCTCTTCCTTGAGAACCCCTCTCCTGAGCGCCTGCCCCTGGCCAGATGCTTGGCTGGGCACCAGGGACACAGAGATGCATGAAGCATGGTACCCCCAACTTAAGGAGCTTAGCAAATATGACACGAACACAGACATCCAAAACAAGCTGGAGAAGATCAGCGCTGGGAGGAGCTCAGGGTGGGTTCCAGGAGCTTTGCGGGAGAGGGGCATTTCAGTTCCAGTCAGGGAAGGAGAAGCAAGTCCCTGGAACAGGCTCTTGTAGGCCAGCAGAGATGGGGAAAGGGGTCCAAGTGGTGGACATGGTGTGAGAAAGCCCCTTAAGAAGGAAACTGAGAATCCATTTGGCTCAGAATCAGTGGTTCCGGAAGTCAGCCGTTGAGGGAGGCTGATGGAAGGAACTGGTAGAGAGCGAGGGTGCGAGTGAGGGAGGACAGGCTGTGGCTGGCCTGGAATACAAGGCTAATGTCCACCGACAGCTCAGATGCCAGAGGTGGCCTCACTGCAGTACCACGTCCATTTCAGTGGGCCAGCTGAGCACGGTGAGATGCAGTTTACAGAGAAGAGGTTGGCAGGTGATCTTTGTCCCCTGCACTGCTGGCTACGTGTCCCCAAGCAAAGTGCCCCTTTTAACTTCAAACATTCTTTCTTCAGGACAATAGCCTGGGTAGGCACCTCTGCTGAGAGACGCCACTCTGACCTCTTGTCCTCTCATCTCCAGGACAGACCCCTTGATGGAAGTGGGAAATAGGCGCTGTTCGTTCAGACCTCACCCAAGCTGTGGGCTGGCCAAGCTGCCATGCAGACGGGGCCCCCCGCCCAGAGTGCTCAGCGTTAATGAAACAAAATGGACCTCTCGGAAGACAGGGATTGCTGGAAAGGGGTACCCCGCCATGAGGCAGGCCCAGCTCTCATTTCTGGAGCCCTTACTAACAGCCTCACAGGCCCCTGGTGGAAAGACGGACCAGGTCTAAAGAGTGGCCTCCACTCTGCCTGTCTCTGGCCTGTTTCTCCTGCTCTGACTTGCCCTGTGGCTTGGCGTCTGTGCTCCTGTTTTGCTTTCCAGGGCCATCCCGAGTGCAGCTGCAGGGGGCCCATGACTTCAGAAGCAGGCAGAACACAAGGGGCAGAAGGCGAGGCTTGCCAAGGTCGCCCGGCCACAACGCCCTCACCTGCTCCAGGTTGGTGAGCTGTCATCCTCATAGCACTCCTCGCCACTGAAATACTCCTGTTCCCCCCAGCAGCGGGCGTCCCTGAAGTAGCCATGTATCTCCGGGTCTTCCCGGCAGATAGTTGGGAACTGCTCATCTCCTGAGTCGGACCTGCAGTTGGGAGAGAGGACCTGAGCGCCCGGGTAGGTGGCAGATAACTCCTGTGGTCGTGCCTCAGCACACGGCCAGCACCCCTGCCTGAGGTGCTCCTGGCTTTTCCCCCGTGCGCCCGCCTCAAGCGGGACTGGATTCTCAAGGCCTCTGGCAATGGTGCTGTGAGTGTGGACGTGGACGTGCGCATGCCAGGAGGGGGTTTCTCTCTCAGTATACCCTGCACAATGCTGGTGCCAAACCACTATGCCCAGAGGCCTCAGAACCAAAGGAGTAGATGGAATGTGGGGAACAGAGCAAGAAAACAGACCCAGAGACCTGCAGTGATTGGCAGCCCTGGGGAAAAGATTGGGCTCCGAGGCCGTCTGCCTTGATCCCTGTGCCTCCTACCCGAGCCAGGTGTGACGTAAGAGCCTGGGACACAGAGGCTCCCTTGCCACCGACTTCCCCCTGCATCCGATCCAGGAAGGGTGACGGGAGTCTAGGATTCAGTGTCCCAGAGAAGACTCTCCTGGACAATGTCTGCCAAGTTTTCAAAGACTGCCCTGCCCCAGGACTGTCATAATGCTGCCCTGAAACCCAGCTTGTCCTGGCCTCAGTGCTCAGGAAAACCATCCAGGCTCCGGGACATCATGTCTCTCCAAAGAGAGGACTGTATTTCCTCCAAGTTCTTCACTCTCTGGCCCGCCCTCCTCTGGCTCAAGCTGCTCCTGATTTCACTGGATATAATTAAATGAGGAGACCTAGCCTCCCCGTCCCCAGGAAAATGACCAGCCCACCCATCATTCAACCTAGTTCAACAAACATGGAGCAGGATACACTGCATGTGTGTTGAGGGCTGCAGGGGAGACAACGACCTGGTCCCTGGTCTGCAGGAGGTGGGAGGCATGCTGTGAAGAAGCCCCCACAAGAGGCTTGACCACAGAGAGCAGCAGGTGGTGCCCAGCTTAGCTTCACAGGCCGGGCACCTGGAAGTGCACAGGGGGCTCTCCCCGCACTGTCACAAGGCCTGCAGCGGCTAGCTAGCGGCCACACTGGCACGTGACTCTCAGCCCTTGGCTGGTAACCATCTACGCAGATATGGATGTGAAAGCTCCTTGGCTTAGAAATCAAAGCAACTAGCTCCAAAGCCCTGAGCTCTAATATCCTAGTTGGCTCAGAGAAATTTCTCATCTCAGCATTCATAGAGGCCACTTGGTCACACTTACAACACACAGTATTCGACACATGAACACAGGCAACGAGCACATACCTAATGTACGTTTCATAATAGCGGGTTCTATCCAGGAAAAGCATAACACAGGAGGGAGGGAGAAGATAAAAGTTAAATATTTCCAACAACATTTAAAACGCAGATATCAAGCTACTTCCTAGAGCAGAGGTCAGTAAACTATGGTTCACAGGCCACATACAGGCTGCCACCTGTTTTTGTATGGCCCACAAGCTACAAAGTTTTTATACTCTTAAAGGACTGGAAAAAAACAAAGGAAGAAAAATATTTCATCACACGTGACTATAGGAAGTTCACATTTCGGTGACCATAAATAAAGTCTCATTGGGATGTATCGCAGCATTTGCATATTATCTCCGCTGCTTTCTCCCTGCAACAGCAGAGTTGAGTAGCTGCAGTAGAGGCTGTGTGCTGCCAGAAGCCTGAATATTTCCTATCTGGCCCTTGACAGAAAAAGCATGCCAACCTCTGTCCCAAAGTATGTCAGCACAATTGGGGAGGGTGGAGTTTGCAGCAGCTGCTGCTGATTTAAGGAGCATCCCACACAGCATGATATAGGATGGCAGGCAGCCCTTCTTCCTTGAGGGTCATCACATGGCCAGTGCCCGAAGAGGCCAGGACCTTGTGGCACTCACAGGTTCTAATGCAAATACCTCCTGGGAATCTCCTGCACATGCCAGAGCACGGCAGAGAAGGAACTGCCTTGGGCAGACACTATGTTACCAATGCAAGCACATTTTAAAGGTTACCTTTTAATACTGGACCTTCTTTGAGGCTCACGGTCATGCTTGTGGGAGGAATGATGCCCGTTTTCAGACACATGCTCAAGGTTCCCAATGCTGGGCCGCTTTCCAGGGGCAGCTTTGGACATATTGGCATTATTGAGATTGGCATTTGTTGAGCTGGGAACTTGCTTTCCTATGGAATTATGGTTATGATGGTTATGACACACCGAATTTCCTGCTGGAGGAAACAGCGGTTTCTCAGTATCACTTGCAGGTGGAATTGAAGGCCTTTGGACATGCAGGGGACGGTGGGTGGTATTGGTCTGCTGAAGGGAATCTCTCCTATCACTATTAACATGATTGACATGGTTTCCAAGCAGGGCACCATTTCTCTGCAAAATAATGGGAGACAACACCAGGTAATTTAACAAGTATTTGATGCAGGCTAGCTATGTTAGGTAATTTTTTTCTACATGAAAAACAAATTCTAGGTAAGCTCCATAGGATCTCTGTAAAACAATCTGAGTGTCTCAATGATCGAGGTGAACGTGTCTGTGTGGCAGGTGGTCCCCCCTGAAATGAGGAAGGTTACCGATTCCTGAGATGGGGAGCAAGCTCTCAGCTGGGATTCGAGTGTGCTCGTCCAGTCGCTCCAAGTTGAGGTGACTTATACCCAGCAGGGCCGGTTGGCAGCCCCGTTGAGGCTGAGGTTGAGGTTGGGAGTAGGCATGCTCCCTGGGCTGGGCAGCTGGGGGATTGAGGGCTGGCTGGCAGATCAAAGAGCTGGCCCAGGGAAGAAGGAGGTAGTTCCAGCAGGCAGCTGCTAGAAGGACCCAGGATGGTCATCCACACCGGCCAGTAGCTGTGGCCAAGCTCCTCTGAAGCTGCCATTGTGGGGCAGAGGAGCAAGCTCAGGGAAGGAGCAGGCCTGGCCCTAGGAGAGGTGCTGGTGAACGGAAAGGGTCTGCCGGGGGCAGGGATGGTCCACAAGCCCCTCTAGGCCCTGGGGCTCGTTTGCATTCTCCAGGCTCTTTTGTGGATCATTAACTGCCCAAACTGGAGTCCTGCCCCACTATTTCCAGGTGGCCAGTGTGTAGCTAGGCGTGGAATAATTACTTTGAATACATCTTCTTCTTCTTCTCGTTTTGTTTCTTCGGGCTCATCGTCTTGCAAATCGCATGATATAGCACGCCGGATTTCAGGCCCAATGTCATGCAGTGTCCTTAATCCCGCCTAGATCAATGAAAACGGCAAAACAGATTAGACAACACGGGCGCCCTGGGACTGACCTGGGTCCTGGCTTTGCTCCTGCCTGATTCAGCTGTAGGAGGGGAAGGTTTCTCCAAAGGACAGCCCAGGGAACGGGCCGCTTGTTTGAATGGAATTGAAGGAGTCCCTGCAGCCTCAGGGTTGTAGGGGGCACTCAGGAGTTCAAGATGAGCATCGGCTGGGATGTTTGAGGCCCTCAACCCAGTAACCTTTCCAAATACCTGCACTTGCAGGGAACATGGCCTGGTACTCAGGTCTGCCATGGCCAAGGGCCCAAATGCCAGTCTACAGAAGGATGGCCTGCAGAGCACCACCTCCTGGAGCCCCAGACAGGGCAAGGAGCACAGCCTGGCTATTCTAGAGGGACAGTGGCAAGGACTCGCTGGCTGTGTCCAGCATGAGGAAGCCTGGGTACAAGTGCCAGAGGGCAAGCAGACCAAGCTGCCATCAGGGCCACTGGTTCTGCTAAGAAGCCATGGGAACGAGGGGGTGACACACACACTACAACCACCAGCACACTCAGGACCATGATGGATGGACCGACATGCACACAGACCTGGGCTACTGTGCAGTGCCAGCCTCCAGGTCCGTCCGCGGTGCCCTGGCCCACAGCCTGCGCTCAGGCTGAGAAGGCGCCCACAGTCAGGCCACCCTCTTGAAGACCACAACACATTGAAAGGGGCTCAACAGCCTCTGGAGGTGGTGTGAGACCCACCAGGTGCCCCCTCCAGGCCCCTCACAGACATTCTGCATTTCCCCAAGGTCCTCACAGAGGCCTTCCTCACCCTGGGCCCCGTTCCATTAGGACAGGGCCTGAAGAAACCCTTCCATTGTTCCCAGCTTCACTAGGGAAACATTTGAGATGCTTACGGAGTATATATGGGGAAGGTGTAGTTGCTGACTCTGAGAAAATTATGATGTTTTGACCATCAATTTGAAGAAAAATAGCATGCTGACTTAAATACTAATAGGGACAGTATAGCTCCCTTAACCTTTTCCACAAAAGGCTTGCATCTGAAAGAGGCATTTCCTACCTCCCCCAGGTCAAGGTCACCCGTCCTGCAGCAGGGCAAAACCCCTTGTTGGCTGGCAATCTGTCTGCAACTCAGAGCCACTAAAGGCTTGGAGAATGTGTGAGAGCCTGGCTGTGCAGGGCTCCGTCTGCAGATACTCCAACCTCAGGGTGGTCTGCAGAGGAGAACGGGGCCAAGTGGTGGGTCATCAGGGGAGGGGACCACTTCCCTGTCCTTCCTCCACAACCCTCAGCAGTGGGCAGTAGACAAAGCATGATGACTGTGCTTCAGACACACCCAGCAGTGGCGGGGGTTGGGGGCTGGCGGAGGGGATGGGATGGTAGCCGCAGTCTGGCCAGATTGGGCAGGGCTAGGCCCACTGGTGTGGGAATGCTCAGACTGGTTTTCTGCAGATGACAGGGGTGACAACGTTATTTCAGAATGGAAAGTCATATGAGAACTTCCCAAGAGGCTCTTGTGAAGACGACCTTGTCCTTAGTAGCACCTAGCCTATGAGATGGTCCTGTAAAAAATGGCACACCAGACTGGGTCTGGTTTGAAGCAGTGTTGAAGAGAGGAGCAGCAGGTCCTTCCATTTCATGAAGTGTAGAGGTGAAAGAGCTGCGTGGGGTCAAAGCTTTAAGGTTCCTGGCTAGGAATGCTGTGGTCTTGTAGGGGAAAGACACACACGTCCTAGGGCCAAACCCAGAAGAGTTCATGGTGTGGTCAGTGAGGCTGCCTCTCACTTTCCTGTTCCTCTGGTCACAGGCATAAGATGCAGACACACATGCACATACACATGTACACACACACACACACACACACATGAACTCACACATGCATGCACACACACACGCACATGCAAACATATTTTCCCTCTCTCAGGATCCCTGAGTCCAGCACATCTGAGCCTGGGGAATCATCTGGCTTGGAGGCAGACCTAACTTGCCATTCTCATGGAAACATCAAGAAGGCAACTCTAATGTCAAGTGGGTGAAAGCTCTTACACAGCTGAGCTGCAGGCATGTGCAGGAAGGTGGAGCCCGGCAGCATGAAGCAGCCCGCAATTCCTTCATTCCGCGTTTTTTAGGGCACCATTATCAAGGGAAGATAAGCCCAGCCAGGGTTTCATCATCTGACTCTGGATCACTGGGAAGAAAGGGCTGTTACATATCTGAGGCTCCCAAACAGGAGACCAGATTTGAGACACCTGCTGCCATCGACACAAAATAAACACAGGTGACCGTGCACTAAGTCAACACCTCCAGGTAAATCATGTACCTTAGTCCACGTTACAGGGAGCAGGGGCCCGGAACACACTCCTGAGTTCAAATAACAACAGATAATCCTATTCATTGTCATTCAACTGATTGAACTAGGCCTGATTAAAAGAAATAGAAAACTATTTATTTGGATAATTTTTAACATCATCCTCTGTTGACGGGTTGACATTTCACTGAAATACACATATAACATAATTGCATAATAAAAACAGAAACTGTCTCCAGCATGTCTTCAATGATATACAAGATTAGGAAAGTGCAGTGAACAGACACAGGACAGAGAATTTGTTTGCAACATAAATCACGGAGAAGGTTGACAGGTGACCCGAGGGGCCACTTTCAAAGACAAATAACGACAACATATTTATTAAAGAGACATCAGAGGAGGAGAGAGTATGTCCCTCTCCCCAGACATGAAAGCAGAGGTTTGGAAATCATGATGACATTTTGCTTGCTCCACACAGGAAGAAACACACCTCCTAGGAGTCAGGGACTGACTTTACTCTTTCTCGTGGGACTGGGGGAAGGCTGGGGTGGGGTGGGGGCTTCAGCGGGTAGGGGTGTCTTCCAAGGTTGGGAATGAGGGAAACAGAAGTTCCCAAACTTGAACTGAAACGAAGCTTAAGCACAGCACCCTGAATTTATTACATATCACAAAACATGATAATGGAATTTTTCTAGCACACATATCAAGCTAAAAGGTAGCTTAGGCTGCTCCAAAAATTCCATAGGCACAAGTTCCAATTCCAAAAATTGCAGAAAACTATCTTAAATCCTTGAAAAAATTACTTTTTTTCACAGCCCTAAAAAAGAACATTTTTTTCCTGGAAATAAACACTTTACAATCAGTAAAATGATCTGTTCTTTCATATTTCATATCTGTGTCTATTTCTATCAGCAAAATACTATTTTAATTTGAAATGTGGTCATTAGCACTTAAACCAATACAATTAAAGCCATATAAAGTCATTCCATTAACATCACAGTAGAATTATGGTTTCGAATAAACACAAAATTGCTATAAAATATAAACATTACTGATTTAAGATGTCCAATCATATAAAATATTAAACAGAATCAAGCCTAGTTTCTGTTGATTTTTAAATGCTAGATGTTATCATAAATATTTTTTTAAAAAAAGAAATGTTGGCGCTTTGCCTGTAGACTGCTGCTTGAAATTTTAGACACCATTTAATTGGAACTTTATAGATATTTACTCTATTGAATGGTTAAGTCACCAAAAAAACCCAAACTATAAAATCTCTCTAAATATTTCTGAAGCAATAGCATAAAAGTAAGATATTTTAACATCAAGTATGAACATTCATTTACCTTCCTTTCTCTTGCCCACTTTCAGGGTTACATTTTTCCTACCTGGGTGCATATGAAATGCTTTTGCTGCCTGTCTCCCTAAGCTAGCTCCATCAGACACACCAGTAGTCTGCCAGCTCTTGGCACCACAGCAAGCACGTAAAATGCCCGGAAACCCCTCCTGAACCTACACTGTAACAGTGCAGATAAGAGATCTGAGTCTCCAGTCGGGACTGAGCCAGGCCATTCATCTTCGGATGTGAGGGCCAGGCTTTCACACTCCAGCCAAAGAGCCCGTGTCTGGTAGAGCCTGCTCTCCATCACAGGCAGGTTTCACCCACCAGGGCTGGCTCTGCACAGTCATCTTGTTAAAGGCAGTTCTGATTAACCCGTTAGCAGGAGTCAGCCCCTACCCAATCAGAGGGGATAACTTTACACTATCTCCATCAGAAGAAAGGACTGCAGATTAAATTCTTATGGAATAAAGCTGTTCATCTAACAAGCTGTCCCCTGCCTCCTCCGCACACACATATCACACGTGGGCACTCCCTTTCTTTTGTTATTGTTATCCTCTAGGGAAAATGAGATGGTGTGGCCTTTGTGTCCATTATGAACAGTCTTTCAGTTATATATAAAGGTTTAGAATCATGAGCACAACACTCTGAGTCATCCACAGTGATTCTGAGCCTCACTGAAAAGTCAGCTGTAACATTACCCTGTAAGGTACCCCTGGGGTTGCACTCAGCTGTACACACTGAGTTTGTTACCATCACTCAGAAAAGTAAAGAACACTTAAAAAAAATTACCTAAAGTAATCTATGATATTTCTCTGCAAACAATCTGACAGAGCTAGCTATTTTCATTCCACCTTGATTCTTGGTTGTAGTTTGACACCAGAATTGGAGAAATTCTTGCTAGTTTTCTGATAAGAGAGTATTAGTTAAAACTTAGGCTCAGCAGATGCCACAAATCATGACTTCTTCTCTGATGGCATCTTTGTACTGGTCAATGTGATCTCACATGCTTCATCCCACTATATCCTGGAAGGGAGGGTGGGCCAGACTATTCCCATTTGGTTAAGTGACCTGCCCCAACTAGCAAAGGCTTGGCCAGGACTCTTGATCCCCAAGCTTCTGGTGCTCATGATGCCATGCTGGCCCCACTTCAACAACCACCATGAGAAAGTCTTTGGGTCTACAGGAAAGAGTGCTGGGATCAATTCTCAATCATCACTCACTCACAACTGTGACCCAAAATGACCGTGGGGTGCTACCCAATCAAGGTTAACCTTTCAACTAACTTAGCAGAGCTCTTATATCACTAAGTCAGCGTGGAAACAAATTATCACAAGGTATCACGAAAACTGATCCTATGCTCTGCACACGTCCTTGTCTCAGGTGTGCCACTCTGAGGAGCTGAGATCTTTAAAACAGTGTCTATTCACACACTAGTTCAGACCAGCATTCCTCTAGATGGGCACAGGCAGTGAGATGTGGCCATGTGGGGAACATCTCTCAGTGTGAACTTGGCTGGACACACCGGGGCACAGGCAGCTCCGTGTCCAGGTGAGGGACTGGGATGAGGGACGGGCCTGGGAGGCAGAGGATGGTTCAAGCTAGGGGCAGTGCTATATGCAGAAGGCTCTTACCAGATAGATCATAAAGAGGCTCCAGCACTCTTTTCCTTACAGGGGATTTGGGATTCTTCCCCTAGAGCAACAGTTCTCAAAGTGTGGCCCAGGGACCTTGGGGCTCCCCTAAGACACCTTCAGGGATCCATGAGGTCATTGCAATTTGCATACTACTACTACTATGATGTCCTTTGCCTGTACACTCTCATTCTCTCATGGGAGCGCAGAAGGGTTTTCCAAAGGCTACATGACCCATGATGATGTCATCTCTCTGGCATCTTTGTGGTTGCATATTCTGTTTTAAAAATTTCTGTTTTAATTTCTAATGCAGTAAATATTGATACACAAGGGTCCTCAATAATTTTTAAGAGCATAAACGGGTTCTGAGACCAAAAAGTTTGAGAACTGCTGATAACCCATCCTCAGACAGGCAACATCATCTTTTCCTCAGGCACCTGACTCTTCACTCCATCCATCCAGGATTCCTATGATTCTGCTGACCTTTCCCCACCGTTGGAAGAAATGTCCTTCCTGTGGCTTCTCTGGGCTAGCCTGTGGTACTTCTGAACAGATTGCCTTCACTGTGCCTTAGCCATGATGTGTCCCCTCCTCTTACCCCAAACAGCCGCCTCTCTTAGGCCTATGGTGTGCCAGAGAGAATGGATTCACACAGGTACCTACCCAATCTTGGAACCGTTAGAAAGTGTTAGCAAGCTCCTTCCCATGGATAACTCAATCATGACACATTTGAGCTAATGAGGGTACTAGGTGGGTATTATTCAATAACATACTACGATAATTAAGACCTTTTGCCTACATAATATAACTTGCCTTAACTTTTCAGTAATTCTATCTTCTCAAAGACTTTGAAAATAAGAATTACTATTCTCAGAGGGGAAAGACTGCCCACTTTTCAGAAAGAGCAGAGAATCCAGTACCCCAGAATCCTGTGGATTAATTTAGTTTTTAAGTGGGTCACACTAGAGTGTAAGCTACCTAGGAAGAGCCTTTGCCCATGCCCCATCTTACACGTGCTTCCCTCTGATGGATACTGGCCTGCAGCGTGTCTTCCATCCAGGAGCTTAAGAGTTTAGCACCATGGACTGCGGTGTTGGGTACCAAGTTTGCTGAGTGAGTCTGTGAAGATTCTGAGAGAACAAACTCGAGTCATTTCCTACAACTTTTCTACATTTAAAGCCATACTCTTCTGCCAAGGTTTGAGGAGGAAGGAGAGAGGCGCCTGCAGTTTGACTGTAAACGAAGTCTCAGGGAAGCCTTGTTTCCCCTTTGAGCAAGGCCAGAGGTGGCCTCCACCATTTCCAGGCGTCTTTCATGAACTGGTCTTGGCTACCAACCATAGCCAGTGCCTTTACTCAGCAACACAGCCAGGCCCACGTGGGGCAAGACTCTTGTTTCATTTAAACCATTCTCTAAGTCGCATCTAGAAAGTTACCATTTTCCAGTATTTACTTATTTGGAAGGACTGTGGAGAAAGGCATGTGGAAATTACCAGCCGTGTGAATTGCTCAGGGCTGTTCTGCTGAGGCTTTGGCATATGGAGACAGATCGAGAAGACAGTTGGTCACACTGGCCCTCTGAGACAGGAGCAACACAGACAGTGGGTGAGCACATACTGTCCTTCAGCTTTTAATAAACTCGACATCAGGGTGGGTCAGAGACAGACAAAAGGGATCATCTGTCTGATGGTGGACTAGCCCCTCATCTGTGCCTACACGGTTGGCCAGCTTCCTTTTCAGGGATGATACACCAAATACTTAATAACTGGTACATCCTAGACACTACCCAATCAGAGCAGAAGTAGGCCTGCAGAGCACAGTTGAGTCTCAGAGGCCCCGCCTCGCCAGGCATTAGCCCTTCAGTTGCTGGATCACAGAGGGGTCTGGAGAGGAGCTGGGATGTTGGCAGGGGGTGAAGAGACTTGGGGCATTGGGGCCAAGCTGTTAACTAGTAGGTACAGACATGCCTCAAATCTTCAAATGGGGTCCAGCCATACCAGAGTGTGATAACCAGCTGTCAACTCCATCCCCATGTCACCACCCATGGTGCTGTGTGAAGAAGTCAAACCTGATCTCGGGCCCCATGGACTCTGCTGTGAGAATCCATTAGACCCACTGTGAGTTCTTAGACTTAAGACAATCCGCACACATGGGAGCATGATCCGTGGCCAGGCCCATTTCCATAGTGAGGCTAGGGAGCCCACTTATGTCCAGGCAGGCCAGACCACTTGGTATTGAGAACCCCTGGGGCCAAAGGGCAAAGGTCACAGCACAAAAGACATCACCAGATCACCCTCCCTCAAGGCTGGGAGGGACCGTGTCAGTCATGCACAGGATGAGCCTGTAGGACCTCCACTAGTATGCCTCTTCCCACCGGTGACACTGCTCCCCCCGTCTGCCTGGTCTTGGATGAGTGCAGCCAGGAACAGGGCTGCCCCACATTCTGTGGGCCCTCCCCACCTCATTCGCCCGCACGCGCACATGCAGCCTCCAGTCTGCATAGACCAGGGCAGGCAAAGGGGGCTAATAACGCTTCCTTTCTCTAGACACTTCAGAACCTTCAAGTTTTGACACTAAAGTTACTTTTGAATATTGATTTTAAAACTCAGCTTGGCTCCTCTGGGTATCCTGGGCTCAGTCAATGTACTGACTCCTTAACCACTGCTTGGAGTCAGCTGAGAATTTCACATGGGACGGTCTCATGAAGCAACTTCTTGGGAAAAAATCTACTGTTCGTAAGATGTGAAAACACAACCTGCAGAATTACCTCTGTTTACATTTGTATGCATTTCCATGATATCTTAAAAAGGGCAGAATTCTCTTTCTCAATGGATAACTACAGTACAGAACAGAAAAGAGATCAAAGAAAAACAAGAATTTCTTAAAGTTCTGGTAGTAAACAAGCATATGATATTATTATTGTTGTAGTCTTAATAATAAGCAATTATACGTTCAAAGTGCTTTACAATCACTTAGCTATTCCTCACAACAGCCCTGTGAGGTAGGTCGACATTATTACCCCCATTTTACAGATGGGGAAACTGAGGCACAGAGAGGTTAAGTGTCTTGCCCAAGGTCACGCAGCAAGTGAACGCTGGAGCTGGGACTAGAACCCAGGTTCCCTGACTCCCAGTGTCCTTGAAACTAGACCACACTGTTTTCAAAGAGGCATCCCCAGACTGGCTTTGAGCACGAATTAAAGACGGACAATGTTGGATGAGGTTTGAGTGTGGTGGTATTTCCCGTGGACACGTTAAGATGGAACCTGAGGTGTTGCCTGGATTGGTTTTGGCATGCGGGTGTATGTGTTAGTTTAAATGAGTGAATCTGAGCTTCCTGTCCTGCCCACTTCTCACTGCATTCTGAACAGGATCACTGCAGAGAGCAGGAGCCGGACGGTCAGGAGGGCGTGACGGACTGGCATATAAAAGGAACTCTGTCAGCTCAGCGCCAAGGGGCCTGCCAGTCTTTGGGAGTTCGGGCAAACTAGGGATGTAGGACTCTGGAACGGAGTCAGCTGCCCACCTTAGGCAGGTCTGCTTAATCTTTTTACTTTTTTAATTTTTCGTTTTGTTTTGTTTTACTGGCCAGTATCAGGAAGTTGTGTTCATTTCATTTCTCTGTGGGGCGGCTGCCCCCCTCCTTTGCTCTTTCCCACTCTTTCCCTTTCTCTGAGTCTGTTTGGAAGGGAAAACTGTTAAGACTTGCACGTTCCCTTTCATGAAAAAGAGCCACTGTGAGCAGTGTCCACGACAGGAGGCTACGGCTCGGCAGCTGAGCCGCGGCCCTGCTTCCACCTTCCGGAGGAGGAGTGCTCTGCTTGGAAGGGGTCTCCCTGGGGCCTCGGGTTTGCTTTTTCCTGCATTTCTCCCGAAATGCTGTTTCAGTAGAAATAAGCCCACTTGAGACTTTTCCCTTTCAAGGCCTTAGCCATAAACGCCTTCCGACTAACGAGCTTGGTGCTGTAGCTCAGGCAGAAAATTCTAAAGCATCCGTTCAAGCATCTGAAACAAATGAATCAGCCGGTGAAATCTCATCTGTTAGCATCTGTTCTCCTCTTAGATTAAAAAAGAAAAACAAAAGGCCTTTTTATGGCTTTAGATGGCATGCTTTAAAAAAAGAAAAAAATCCTGCTACTTTTTAGACTAAGGTGGCTAGATAACAGGTGTCTGATACTCCACAAGTTATTCCATTTTCCTCTGTCTTTATACGTCGAGCCTCCCTTAGAAGGCCACATCAGGGACCAAGAGCCATTTGCTTCTTGTATACCACCCCCCTTTCCACTTGACCATCTATATCACCATCTGTCAGCTGGGGCACAGCATTTAACATTATAAAACCTGACAAGCTAATCCTTTATGAGTTGAAAATATCGGTCTCCTTCTTAAACTCAAATTCCAAACAGGTAAAAAGTAAAAAAAAAAAAAAAAAGACTATCCTTCTAAAGTCTTCCTGTCATTAAGGCTCCCATCTGGGACGAACAGGGGACGGACTCCTTCACTTCCACCAGAGTGTCTTTTGCATAAAGGAAATCCATGAATGTTGAAAGAAAAAGAAATGAACAAAACTTTTCCCACTTTAGGATTTTTTTTTTTTCTGATCCATGAGATACTGGACTAATTCATGTCTGTATCTTGCATGGACGTCTTCATCTGGAAGGTCTCACGGGCATTACTCTTTGGGGGGAAGGGCACTGAGAGTTCTCATGGCTGCAGAGCTGTGTTCCTTTATTTATTGGCTCCTCATGGAGACCTGCAGGTCACTCGGATGCAGCAACAATGGATGAAGAGCAAATGCTGAGTCAAACTAAAGAGAAATGGCATGTAGGGGATGAGTGAGGAAAAAAATAAAGGGGCCTGATGCAGCTTCTCCGATTCCCTCTGTAGAGGGCTGGAGAGAAAGCTGGCTTTAATGAGAAGATGGATGGATCGATGGAAACTGCACACTCATTCGGACCACAGAGGCCAGAGGACACCAGGTGCCGAGCTCCTACCCACACACGGATCTCGGAGCTCCTCAAACCATTTCCCTTCATGTAGAAGGGGACACTGCAGTTGGTCTGAACCGAGGGAGACCAGCTGGAGCCCACGGGGTTGAAAACCAGAGTCCATCCGTGTGCCCTTGAAAACCATTCCACGGGGGAGGGGCAGAGGATGCGGACGGGTTCCGATCCTGTTCAGACAGACTGCACGCTACGCAGCACAAGCACGCACATGCCCATGTCTTGACTGCTGCGCTCACACCGCGACGCCCACACTCCACTTTCCATGAGCTATTGGTCTGCCAGCCGTGTGGCACCCCTGGCACCAGCAGGAGCAACTCATCCCTCTTCTCAACAGGCCACGCCCACTTTGGGGGCTTCCCTGAGGATCTGTGTACTTGTCCTCATGACACTGTTGGTACATTTCTCCCGCTGCCATTCAACCCCACTTCCCTAACTGCTACATTGTCGTGTAATATTTCATCATCCAGAAAGGAAGAGCCTCTCGTGCTAATTAAATGTAGAGTGGCAAATCACATTTAAAGTCATTTCTAGAGCAGAGGAAGCCAAAAAATGTAATTAGAATTATCCTTCAAGGAGACAAAAATTTTCTATTTTTAATGTTTGCTTCAGATTCAAATGCATTTTTAGAATTTATCTGTCAAGATTATGAACACAACTTAATTTTCTGGGCTGTGTACTCAACATAAATCATAGACAGAGCCTCAACTCCCAATGGAACCATGTGAAAACGTGCTGATATTATCATCTAACTGGAAATGTTTGAATTTCACCAAGGAAATGAAACTCTTTCTATAAACCACAAAATTAAAAATGCTTAGGAGGAAAAAAACTCAACGTTATTGTAACACAATGTGATAGAGTCTTTTAACCTACGACTTATAAATGCAGCTTTAGCATCATTTGAATCTTCAACTTAAAGACTCAGTGAAGCCCATCCATGAAACGTGGCAATTAATTACTTAGCTACGTGTAGGTTTTCAGATTTCAAACATCAAAACACTATATCCAGCCACCAGAGCAAGCACTGAAGCCATCTAATTGGGACATCTTGGGGATTCACAAAAGGTGTAACTCTGTAGCCAGGTGGTCATCATACATGTCTTCCACAGACAACAGAAGGGTCTCACAGCACAGAGCGAACTTGTTACTGTAAATTCTGACAGAGCCATCCACGAAAGAGTATGTTTCCCCTCCAGAAAAGTCATCAAGTTCCATCAGCCCACCACCTGGAATCGGAGAACAGCAAGCAGTCCCTACAAGTAGAAGGCACCATGGCACTCAGAAGTCTGGCCAGCCTATCGTCCAGGCCCAGGGTTCCCTCAGGGAAGAGCCTTCAGAAACACGTTAGTCGCTCCCTTTCCTCGCACCCAACTTGGCGACGCTGCCTTCAAGCATGTAGGGCCCAGTGTCCTGCTCAAACTTGCAAACACATCTTTTCAGTTTGCTTTGTCTCTCTAAGGCTATTTGTGAGCTGTGATCAGAAGCAGCACGGTCACTTTTACTGACTAGATCTGCCAGAGGTGAAAGAGCTTTAACTCAAATTCCACAACCGGAGCCAGCGGTTAGCTTTGCGGCTGAGCCTGGGATTCACTGAGCTCCCTTGAGATGCGATCAGAGAAAGAAAGATAGGAAATTGTCTTCCGTCGGATTCGGCATCCACCCTTCCCCCGGCCCTGCAGCCATCTGGGCAGAGCAGAGGTCTCCTCAGGAATCAGTAGGTCACTGTCACACAAGGTCATCTACTAAGCCGCCGTATGCATACGCACCCCATACTGCTCCATTCAGTCAGTCGCTGTCATTCATTTTCACACTCTCTCTCTCAGCGAGACCACAGACAAGGCTTCACTGTGGTAGTCACCATCACTTTGAACACAGAACAGTGCTGGGCATTTTTCCCAGAAAAAAAATGAAGGACTATTCCACATTGAACCTTACCAATACCTACAAGGTCCAATTTAAGACGAGTGGTGATACCAGGGATACAAATGTAATTTTAGAGTAAATCAATTAAAAAGGAAAAATTCTTTATCTCATTCATGGTAGACTTCAAGCATTCCAGGTAGCGGAGATGACAGGGCTTTCGATTAACTTGAACAGTTGTTTCTGACAGCTTGCCAACCTCTGCAGTTCCCTTTTTCCTGTTCTTACTCTTTTTCTTGTTCTCCCTTCACCCTGCTTTCTCCATCCCCAGCACTCACAGACTTCCTGCTCCTCTTCCTGCAGGTCTCCACTGTGACTTCCTTGCCCCTGACCCGCCTCTTTCCCATAGGAGCTTTGGGCTTACCTACGATTCTGTACCCTCAAATGCATGGACCCTGGTTGGAACTAGAGATTCCTGAAAGCCACATCCACACTCCAGGGCCTGGGGCGGGGCCAGGGCTGGCATAGGGGTAGAGACCAGAGGCCGGCCCGGGTGTGAGAGAGCAGCATTTGCACAGCAAGCCTCAAGGCCATCAGGAGACAACGCACAGAGAGACAGGCACACCGCACATATACACACACACGCATACACTAGGAGGTGATGGATGTTTCTGAAATGGACCGAAAACCAACAAGCAGTGGGGTAAGAAACAAACAGAAACAAAACAAAGCACTTGCGTTCAGATGGAAAGCTGTTTCTGGGCAGCAAGGGCCCAAGTCCAGGGCTGGGGGAGGGTGGGGGCCTGCTCGGAGGACACTGCCTTTGGAGAAGCCTGGAGGAGACAGGGTGCAGGGGCAGCGCTCGCTCCCCTCCCGCCAGGGAGGTGCCTCTGCCGCTGTCCTAGGGGCCCAGCCCCAGGGCCACAGGGGACGCGGGGCACCACGGAGAAAGCCGGAGAGGGAGGCACTTACCTCGTGGCCCAGAAATGGCTAGTCCACATTTTGGGGAGTGTGCAGTATCTCAGTTAAACAAAATCCTTGTAGTACTGCTCAACCATGAATAGGCAGCTCTCTAGTATTTCAAATAAGCTTGTAAAATCGTTAGTGAAAAGAGAAAAAAATGAAACAACAATTCACCTGTAGGGCAATTGTGGTGTTCTTCGCAGGGTACTTTCCCACCAGTCCTTGTTCTTTCCGTTTCTTGAATTTCCTAAAGTAGTCCTGTATCAGGAAAGTGGCATAGAACTTCCCCACGGTTACCTCATCATCTAAACGGAGAGACCAGACAGAGCTCTCCCGAATCAGCACATTTGCACCAAGAGCCTAAACCCTGGCTTCTGGCTGGGGGCAGGGGTGGAGCAAGACGGTGCAGAAGGCACCGAGCTCTCAGCTTACAACACAGGAGACTAAGTCTAGCAAAAAGCAAGGTTTTGCAAAGCAGTTAAGGCTCAAAATTAGAGTCAGTTAAATGAACCGATACTCAAAATTGCAGAAAATAATATATTTGTCATGAGTTTAACAGAGCAGCGTATTAGTAACACTATGAAGTGCTGTCTTGGTTATTTACTTAAAATAAAAATTACAAAACAAAAAAGGCTAGATGGGTCATATTTTCACCCCGCGCATAGGGATTTGCATGTGTAATTACCATGAACACCAAGGGCAATTAACCATCCAAATCCTGATGCCTCGAGATAGACAGAGAGACCTCAGAAAGGTGACAGACAAGCTCGGAAGAAGAGGAAGGTTCAGAAAAGAGACTGCAAACCCAGATTTTTCATGTGCTCCCTTGGTTCTCTGCCAATAGCCTCCATGTACCATTTCTTGGTTTGTAATTCAGAACTGCTTGTTTTCGGCACAGCAAGCGACAGCTCCAACTAACCTCAAAGTTGAGCTGACACTTCTGCTTTATTCAGAAACAACCCAACAGTATTGCTGGGGAATTGGAACTCTGCTGGGCATCTTATAGGTGATGCATGAGGCAGAATAAGGGCTCTGGCTGTCTCGTGGTAAACCATCTTGGCAGTGGAATTGCACCCCAGGGGACTCCACAAGCCCTGCTCTCCCAGGGGTGCTCGCCACCAGATCTGCTGTGTGCTAAGGGCTCCTGAGCGGAAAGCTTAAGAGCCCCTTAGCAGCCCACCCAAGTGGGGCCGCACCGGGGCTGGGCACTGCTGACCATGACTGGCAGAGGCTGGGAGGAGGAATGGCTCCTGGCCCTCAGGATTTAGCATGGCTAAACTTTTGGCCAGGCTGCCCTTGCGAGAGTTATGTGCGATTTGGGGCAAGAGGTTCAACCCCTCTGGGTTTGTGTTCTCATGTGCAAACGGGGCTACGCCTCTTAGAGGAGCTGTGAGGAGTACAGAGAAGAGGTGTAAAGCGCTCAGCCCCTTCTCTGCATGATCCTAAGTGCCAGGCAGGGGCTGAATGACTGTGAGCCATCAGAGTCACTGTTATTTTACAATCTGCCCACAGTGGCACCCACTGAAATGCACTGTAGAGCATGACAGGTTGGGGACACTAGGAGCCACCATATTCACTAACGCACCATGCGTGGGGTTCGTTTTGTGACCGCTGGGAGGTCACTCTGGACACTGGTCAATCTGGACACTGCTGGGCTGCCTCTCCAAACTTCCTTGTCAGAAGCTGCTCAGTGTTACTATGAGGGAAGATGTCTTAGGGTGTCGGCCTCGAGAGGTATGTTACATTCCTTCTAAACCCAGGCTGGGCAAGTCCTAGAGTGGTGTAGGGGCCACAAAGTGAACCTAAGGCTTCGTACAACATGCGAAACCATGGTCCCTCATCAGTCTCAGGCTGGTCTAACGGTCTAACAATGCATTGTCCACAGGCAAGGAGGCAAGGGGTGAACGGAGACTGTTCAGGGCCTGGCACTTCACCCCTGCTCTGCTCTCAAGCCACTCCCCATCTTGCCCAGGGTGCATGTGGAACCCTGGTAGTTCCACTACCCCTACTACTGGGCATCACAGGTGCCAGGCCCTGTGTCAGAGGAGTTCCATGTGGTCTTATGGCCTCTTCACAACAAGTCTGAGATGGTAGATCCGCCCACCTCCTCTGACAGGCGGAGAGAGGTTAAGTGACCTCCCCCAGGCCAGCTGAGTTGGGATGTGAGCCCCCTGAATCTGGGCTCTCCTCCTCCTCTTCTGCAACACCTCCCTGAGAGACGGCCCAGCTGTGGCCACATGGACCATCCGCTTCTTTGGGGCTGCCCCTCCCAGAGTACAAGTCTCTCTCTCTACTGGGCTGTGCACAGGAGATGGACCAACTGCTGACGGAGCAAAGAATCCTGGGGCCCCAGGGGGATTCTCTGCCTGCTGTGCCACAGCTGGCCTCTGCAATCCAGGGTTTCAAGTCTTCTCTGTGGGCTCCCAGAAAAACCACTGGCTCTGACTACAGAGGGCCACCTCACTCCACACTGGGATGCTTCCAGCAAACAGTAGCCTAACCTTTATCTCCCTTCTGCCTGCACTGTGCTGGCCGGGAGGGGCGGAGGAGGCTTCTGCAGGAGGGTCTTGGCTTTTCCAGGCCCGGAACCTGGGGCGGCAGTATACCCAGTGCAGACGGCCCACCATGTTTCTCCCTGAGGAGTGACTCCAGAGCACAGACACATTCACCCAGGGAGGGATTCCAGCTTCACCTGGTCTTCTCCACTGAGACGCTGAGCTAATCGAGACTGGGCCCAGGAAGAGTTCTTAAGAAGAGGAAAAGCCAAAGCCACAGCAGAATAGAAAAGGAAGGAAGAGAAGGAATGAATGCAGTGAGGCCATGTGAGCTTAGGACTGGTGAGAAAGAGATGGTGTCAGCTCTGTGGGTTCTTCAGGGAAAAGAAGCCAAAGATCCAGGTCAAGGAGCAAAGGCCTAAAGGCAAGGAGAGCATCTGGGAGAAGGGGGACTTGTAAAGGAAGGGGCAAGATTCATGAACGGCAGGAGAGGACTGAAGAGTGGAGGTGAGAACATGAGTGAGATCCAGAGATGGGAAATGAGACAGCTCAGCCCTCATGATGGAGAGCGCGGACAGGCTGTCCCCGCAGCCAAAGGCTCCTGAACCACTGAGAGTCAGAAAGAAAGTTCCATATTCCTATTCCAGGGCTCATTCCTGAGTGTGGCACCTCTTCATCAAACTTATAATTATCTTGGGGGCACCTCACATCACACTCGAGCCAGCAAAGCCTCCTAAGACAGCACCTACTCTGCTCTGTCAGCAGGTGCTCCCTAAGCACCTGACATCAGCCAGTCCAGGCACGGGGAGCAGCTGGCCAGGCTCCGTCTGCTGCTCTCTGACCAGGTTACAGTGTGGGGAACACAGAGCCCCCCAGCCTTGGGGAGCTGCCCATCTGCCTGCCAAGAGGGCTGTGCAAATATTCCCATTTTCTAAGGGTGCCACGATGTGAGCGAGGCTGAGAACCGCTGGTCTACCGGAAAGTAAAAGAGGAAAAACAAAGACACAAGTGGTGAATGCACATACTAAAACCCTGCCCAGCCACTCAACCAGTCTGCTCACGGCAGCCTAAAAGTCACTGCCTTTTGAACTTCTTCAGCCGCAACAGGACTTACTTGAGATTCAACCTGGATAAGCGCTGCCCTAGGCACATAAACAGGGACACGGAACTTCTGGAGCATTCTGTCTCCTGCCAAGGCCCCATTCATTCTTCTTGGGTTTCACAGTGCCTCTTGTGCCATTTTGGAATAGATTAACACTAGTCATCCTAACCCCAATCCATTTTAAGAAATACAGAGAAAAGGCCAGGGCCCATTATTGGGCCATGAAAGCAGAAGACTATTTAGCCTTTATTAGAAGTCTAGCAGAGCTAAAAGTTGATCAGTTTTTTAAAGGAAGGGAGCTTAGATGAGCCAAATTCTAGACTTTTTTCTGGTAAAATGAAAAGAAAGGAAGTTCCACGATAATGGGAATGGCACTGTCCAAGTGAGTCTCGCCAGGATGGGCACTGATGTGTGAGAGAGACTGGTTGGTAATGAAGGTGGCGTTTCAAGAGAGACGCGAGATGGAGCCGGGAGGCACAGGGCTCCGGACCGTGGGAGGAAGGTTTACTCAGACAGGCGCAGCCGCTATTCTGAAGCATGCATCTGTATTTCGAGAAACATCATTGGGGAATACAGTAGGCAAGAGATAACTCTGATTCCATGCCACCACCCTAAAACAGAATTGCTTCAGAATATTCTGAAAGACTAAGAGTTGAAAGGAATGGAGGCTGCAGAAAAAGCTTAAGCACATTGTTACAACAATTTACAAAAGCAATTGATCTAAGCCATGCGAGCACTTGGGTGTGCAGCTAAAAGAAAAGAACGAAGACCAAAGATATGTTTTAAATGTGCAGGATCAGTTCTCCTGTGGAGAGCCAGGCTTCTAAAGGTGGGAGTTCTGTTTTTTTGGATTTTTAGGGATTTTTTGGTTTGTTTTTGGGTTTTTTTACTCTCCCTTTATTATTGTTTTGTGGGGCATCTTTCTCAGCTTTGAGCTGGTGGCCGTGCCAGCTCTGGGTGGCTCCCTCCAACGACAAAAGCTCATACTGCTTCTTGCTTCATGCTGAGAAGCAGAGCTGGCCAGCATGCTGCTCTCTGGGGCCCAAGAGCCAGAGGTTGTCACCTTCTCAGAGGGAGAGGCCATGGCCATCGTCCTGGCCCAGGGTTTCAGAGGCGGCTGCCAGACCTGAGCCAGACCAGTCTTCAATGCTGCAGGGGCAGCGATACTACAAAAGCTTGGTTGGTTACAAAAGACACCAAAGGCTGATAATGCGCCCAGGGCCAAGGATGACTGGAAGGCTGGTGTGGGGGCACTGAGGAAACGGGTCCTGCATCTTTAAAACTTGAAAAGAAAACAGTCCAAATACAACCATCTCAACTTCTAGGTCCATGTGTTCTTAAATGAAAATGGAAAAACAGTATATATATTATATATATATATATATATATACACGTGTTATATATATATAAATGTGAAAAAAGTTTAGTCAGTTATTTTACGATAAATAACAAAAACAAATAAGCATGCCTGTTAGTTCTGTCTCTACTTGAAATTCTAATTAAGGGACATTTTTGGTAATTACGGTAGTAAATTCAGTCTTGACAAGAACATTTCGAAAATACCATTTTCTGAAAGCTATTTTTTGTGAGAAGTTTTCAACAATATGTTAAGGGATAAATGGAAACTAGTTTTAAATATTTCATTTTGGACAAAAAAATCCAGGCTTTTCATTTTGAAGCAGCAAACTTGTTCTCTAACATTAATTCCTCCACCAACAAGAGAACACCTTGCCATCTGGGTCTTGGCTTGCTTCCCACTGAAGCCTCTCCTTTGTCTGGAATGGTCTTCTGATCACCCAAATAATCACATAAATGGCCAGAGGGCCTTCTTTAGCTGTTGGCCTTAATGCTCTAGCTGATATGGAAAGCATCCTGCAAACACTGGGCTTGCTGGAGACACTATCACTGAAACCAATGTGTTGGCCAAGAACTACTTAGGAAATAGATTACACTGACCACCAGCTGGAGGGACAACTTGGTCAAGTAGTTTCATGCTGGTTTTCTTCCAGATTTTCTTTATTACAGCTCGGAGTTCCTCATTAGCTTGTTCCAGGTTCCCTGAATTAAAAAGCAAGAGGTGAAAACAAGCCCTGCTTCTTCACCCAGCAAAACCTTTCTCACCATGGCTACTTCCCTCCCAGCCTGAGCTGGATTAGAGATGGCCCTCGGATGGGGCTCCCCTCCCACGAGGCTCTCCCGAGTCAGGGGCACGCACATTTCCTATATTTAGCAGACAGTTATCAAGCCTGCCAATGGGCAGTCATTCCACGGTGGGGACCATCATGTTTTACTTTGGAATTCAAGGCCCAATTCAATCAGGTCCTGTCCTACCTTCCCACAGCCAAGACCTACTCCTTTCCCACAGCTCCCAGCCTAGAATGCCTTCTGCTCCTTCACTGGCTGTTCCAAATCCTGCCTCCGTCCTTGACAATCCAGACTAAATTTTACCCAAGTAAGACTCTCTCAATTCCTACTGCGTGTACTTGTCAGTGCCACATAATCTTGGTCTCTTATTATATGAGCTGATACTTGTCTCCTCAACTAACATGGCAGTATGCAAGACCATCCTGCCTTCTGCACATTGCAAGGAGTACATGTTAGCTTGTAGAGGCTTGTTTTGCTGGATAGATCCACCCTGACCTCTGGGGATGCAAGAGAACAGCTGTCCACTGACTCCACACACATCCATGCTGGCCCCTCTTCCCTCTCCTCCACCAAGTGCGTCACAGAATTGGCTCCCTCCCAGTCTCCACTTCCTCAGCTCCTGGTCACTCCTCGACCTGCTGCCATCTGCTTTCCATCCCACCTCTATAGTCGCCACCCAGCCAACCCCATGGCCACACTCCAGGGCTTGTTCCACCAGGGCTGAACAGGGCCAAGAGAACCACTCTGGTTTGGTCTCAGCTGTGAAGATGCTGGTCCTGATAGTATTTCCCAAGTGCCAACGACGTGCTAGCACTACAGAGAGGGTCCTGCAGACATCACCTCATCCCATCCTCAGGACCTCCCCCAACGCAGGAGTATTTATTTCCTTTTAATAGAGAAAGAAACTACTGCTCCCTGCAGGTCACAGAAGCAGCAAGGGACAGCTGGACGAACTCATCTGTGATGCTTCTGCCTCTGCCCTGGTCTCCCACCTGTTCCTCCCGCTCTGCAATCAGCAGTGGCATGAGTCACCTCAAAACTTTCTGGGACAAAGTGAAGCATAAGGGAAGGAAAGTAGGAATGAGGCAGTCAGGGACAGCCAGCTGGCCCTCGTTCCCATTATACTCCCGGCCTCCTGTCCCAGGGCCTCTCCTTTGACAGGAAAAGGCCCAGATGCGAGGAGGCAAGGTGGAAGGGGGCATCTCCTCCCTCTTCTACCACCTGTGCTGCTTCTAGGAAATGCTCACCTTCGGTCTTGATTTTAAGAGCTGTTCGAACCAGAGCAAAGAGGGTTGCATTAAACATGACTGTCCCGTCACTGTTCAGAGGCATGTTCATGGCAACAAGTCTCTGTAAACAGAAAGAAAAATTTCTTAATAGGATGCGAATGACTGATGACAGCTGTATCCCTTCTTGATGTTTATTCTGTTTATCCCTCACCTCTTTCCTAGTCAACCCTCAATTCAATACAACAGCTATTTGGGGAGCACCTACCATCTGCACTGCTCTGAGATGACCAAGATTAAAGCATTAGTCACGAGACACAAATGCTGGCACTCAGAAGGCGGGTTTTGTTTTTGTAACTTAATTGCTCCATCACCTTGCTGTTGCAGCATTCTTCTCTCTTTCTCATTAACCAGCTCTGTGTCTTGGGGGCACATCCTTAAGGCTGCTGTGAGGGTAAAATGATGTGCCAGATACAACAAGCCAGGCACAGGGCCTGGGACTTAGGTTCTCAAACCCTGAGGGTCTGTCATCATTGCTAACAAAGAGAGCGTCTTTCAAGGACCCTGTCCCGGTGAGACCATTGTTTAGTGTTTTGTATGAGTCCACGTGGTTTCTCCAAGTGTTTGGTCTTCCAGACTAGGATCCCTTCCCTCTCCTGGCCCCTCTAACACAGCACTGAGAGTCGGAGAGGATGTGGGTTAGTGACACCCTCCCCTCTCTGGGCCCCGTTACCTAACCTGTAAATGCAGATGACATGCCCACACCAAAGGGGCTGCCCATGGATTAAAGGGGATCATGAACACAAAGATTTCAGCCTGATGCCTGGCACATGATAAGTGCTAAATAAGTAGTACTTACAATTGTTAATAGTTTCTGATTTCTTAAATTTGACTGACAGAGTGCCCCAAGAAAAAAGATTTTTGCAACTTTTTCTCCTTCCTATGAATGCACTGGAATCTTGTGTTTACATGACTCACTCCACCTAAATTCCTAGTCCTATTACCGACCAGCCCTGTCTCCAAAACCAGCGCAGGCAGCCAGGACAGCCTGGACGTTCATTTGCTTTTCCTGGCAGGTTCCAGAGTCTGCAAAATGGAGCCTATATGATCAATTGGTATTCTTGCTGTACTTACGTAGGTAATTGGACCAAATTTATTGAAACTAAACGTATTTTCCAAACCAGTTAGTCCTAATTTGGCTATCGCTGGGAAAAATGAGGATGATTTTAGTGAGAAACTGTGTTTCAGTAGAAACTGTAAGACACATTTATGGCTATCAGATTCTAGTTTTGTTAATTGTCTTCGAGGTTTTTGTTTTCTACCTGTAAACTAGACTGGATTCTGAATTCTTCTAGTCTCCTGAAATATGTGGCTACAAATCTCCACACTATGTTTTCAATTTTTTTCCGTCATTTTCCTTTGGAATCATTGAGAACTGAAACCACACTTTTTCCTGAAGCCCTGCAAACTGAAGCCGGATAACTTGATATAAATGTAGAGATCACCATGATAGCATTCTTGTTACTATGTAAGCCACTCAAACAGATACCTGAATATCCGATGACATCACGAGAGACACTTCAAATTGCAAAAGATGCTTCGACCCTGATACCTAGAAATCTTCTTGACTAGCTGCCCCCTGGACTCAGAAACTGGTTTATAATTTGCTTCAACCATTAACCTTGTTTTTCTTTTTGTTTCCATAGAAAGACTTCTTACCAAATACCTGGTTGCTTGCTTCCACAGTATAGGCCTAGTTTTGAGAGCCCACCTGCATCACCACATCCTGAAATGAATTTAACTGGACTGATCTATTATCAGGACTAAGAAACGTGTTCAGTGAGATGGAACAATCTACCACCTCAGCTTCTGGACTATGAAACTTCAAGAAGTTTCAAAAGGACTGAAACTTTTTAAAGTTTCAAAGTTGGGACTCTCGGGGATCAGAATTGGCCACCCCAAAATGTGACTCTCTGCCTTGATTATTTTTAAGAACAAAAGACTCTGAAAGAAACTTTGACCTCCCCTGCTAACTGCCTAAAAGAAATTTAAGATAAAAGGCCCATCCCCAGGACGAGCCATCACCATATACAACTCTGGGTATCTATAGACTGGGAAGATCTTTGCTAAGCCCACTCTTATCAAAGTTCTGTTTACCAAACGTTTGCTTTTCCATCGCCATGTGAATTGCCTTGCCGTTGAAGTTGCAAACTAATACACCTAACACCCTCCTTTGTCCTTAACCGAAGATATTTAAGCTGGCAGTTCAGCCACTCTGGCGAGTTACTCAGTTTTCCTGGGTCTCTCCCACGTACACATGTTATAAAGCTTTGTTTGATTTTTCTCCTGTTATTCTGTCTCATGTCACTTTAATTTGTCACCCAGCCAGAAGGACTTAGAGTGGATAGAGGAATTTTCTTCCTCCCCTACATTTGGTACCCATCTTGTTCTTGGAAAGCAGAAAAGAGGCTGGTACTGAGAAATTTATGTAAAAAGTCCATTTCTGTGGCTTATTCTCTACCTATATCCAGAGTCCAGGCAAGAACAAGCAAGGACCCCAAGGACTTGCCAATGGGCCTTTCTTAACTTGCACGGCAGGGAACGATGAGTTTGGTTCAGAAGATTTCTTTGAAAGCTTAAAATACATTGTAGACTCCATTCTGTTACCTTGGATTCTGTCTAGAGCTGGCGCAGGACCCCTGGTGTGGTAGAACTCCTGACCCTGGAATCCCCTAGGATCTGTGTGGGGAGGGGAGCAGTTGTTGGGGAGACTGGCTAGATTTCTACAGGGTAGAGATTCAACAGGCAAATCTTGCATTTCTCCTTTAAAAAGGGGAATCCTTTTAGGTTGCAACAACTAACACAATGTGGGTCACCGTGAGCTCTATGGAAGGAAAATCAATCTCAACTGTGGCTCACAGAGACATGGTCTGATGTGCCAACTATGGAAGTGGGGTGGGAGATCTGGATCCATCCCTGAGTGATGCATGGTTCATCAGGAAAGGAGCCCGTGCAAAGTGGTTGCCACAGAGCTCTGGCAGCAGAGAAGCTGTGTGATCCACACATCACCACGTCCACCATCACAGAAGCTATGAAATATCCAGGTCACCAAGTCTTCTCCATTCTCCTTCCTAAGTAGATCTCTAAGCCACTCCCCTGCTCTCTATTCCCACTTCCCTGCCCTCACTCTGGCTTTTGTTACTTCACACTTAAGACAACCACAGCAGCTCTCCTGGGGGTTCTCCTGTCTCTAGTTCACTTCTCACTGCCACGAGTCAACTTTCTAAAGTTGAAGTCTACTCATGTTTCTTCCACAGGAATCAGCATGGCATAGAAGGCTCCTCACAGCCATGCTCAGCTTGTGCCAGTGGCCTTCTGCCACTTTCTCTTATGTTCTAGCCACACCAATGACTTCCTATTCTCCTGCCTCCATGTCTGGGCCCTCTGTGCTCCCATTCTGCAATGCCTGTCTCGCTCTGACAAAGTCCTACTTCTCTCCTTCTGGACCTGACACAAACATCACCTTCCCCTCTATCCACCCAGTGGCAAATTACATAATTCCCTTCCTATTCTTATGTTGGCTGAAAGGGTGTCCTAAGAGTTACGTATTGGAGAGTTCTTCAAGGACAGGAACCACATGTTATTCACCTGCATCTCCAGAGCCTGACAGAGTGTCACTTAGTGTTTGTTGAATGAAGCAGGGAGCGCCTGCAAGACAGGCTGTCAGACACATAACCAAGACACTTACGACAAATAGAACTGGCAAGCAATAGGATATATTGGAATACGCGAGGAAGCCATTTGGTGTAGACCTAATTCTGCTTGACTTTGTTTTTCCAAAAGCGCCTGACTGTGGCTATCGGGCACGCATTGTATATCTGCTTTAAACATTTGCTATAGCAAGAACAAATGCCCTTAAGATAAAGGTGCAACTTCCCCCCACATTGGCATTTCCTTTAGGATAAGCATCTTTCCTTAGGCTAGGAACTGATTGCTGTGCTCACCTGTGACCACCCAGCTCGAGACAACAGACCTGCCACCCTGCTGTATCCACCGAGACAGCAGACCTACCTGCTGTTTCCATCAATCACTGTGCCAACAGAGCAGTCTCTCAACTACTGTAAAAGGGACATTTCAATCATATGTGAAACATCCTCCTTGGGGGTATATAACCACTCTGTACGCCCTACTTCTTTGGTGCCCTTTCTTCCTTCGGGGAGAAAGGCCCCAGGCCATGGTCCTCACAGTTTAGCTCAGAATAAACTCACCCAAATTTTCATTTATAGATTGGTTATGGATGATTTTCATCGACACTTACCTTACAAGCTACTCTGTGTGGGCACAATTTCCCAAACCCCAGGGGAGGCTGGATGCGGCGCAGCAGTGTCACCACATCGAGGTGCTTGATCCTTCCCCTGGAGACAAAGTATGACATGAGGTCCAGGGCAGCACGAACTGGCCCAGCTTCCAGTCCATCCCACCTTCCACAAAAATCACAGCCAACATTCCAGAAACAGCCCACACAAACCAGATGGAATCCTTTGCAACCTACTTTGCCTCAGGGTCATATTCTGACCATATTCTTTTGAATTCGTCTAAATGGTGAGGCCCCAGAATAGACCAGTCCCGGGTCAGATAATCAAAATTATCCATGATGACTGCTACAAACAGATTGATGATCTGAAAAAGCAAATCAGAAGGAGTGGGCTTCAGCTGTAGTGGGATGGGTTGAGTTAGAGCCTAGTAAGTACTTCCTAATTATAAGGGTCGTGAAACTTTTGAACCCATTTCTCCAAGAGAGGCTGTAAGAACATTCTTTCTGGAGAATGTTTGAGAAAAAGGCAGGCTTCTAGTTTTCCAAAATAGCTTTGGTGTAGTCCCAGGGAAGGAACGGGGATGTATTATCTAGCCTTAAAAGCATACTGCAGTTTTACAATTTCATTGCCACCAGATAACTCACACTTAAGTCACTGCTACTCATAGTGGCTTTGAAATTTTTACAAAGGAATCAGCAGCCTAAGAAGCTGGGTGTGACTGCCCAAAGCCTGTTAGTTAGCATGAAATGCCTGCTCACAACAAAGGCAGCAGTAACACTTGCCTGATTAAGGAAAAACCTCCGACTGCCAAGTAGAGAGTACACTGCTCATCATCACAAAAGACCCCATAGCAATTTGACAGGGCAACATCACTGGTCTGCATCCCAACCGCTACACAAACATCTATCAATCAAGAGGAGGAGCTGTTCTGATCACTTACCAGAAATGCGCAGAGCATGTAAAAACTGATGAAATAAACAATGGCGAAGTTGCTGCCACACGTGTACTCCTCCCCGGGGTTGTAATCCGACTCGGGGTCGCAGAGCTTCCCCGGGAGGCAGGCCAGCATGATCTCCTGCCAGGCCTCACCCGTTGCACACCTTTTTTAGAGTAAGCAAGGAAAGGGCTTTAGTAGGGGAAGAAGGGATTTGAGGCTTAGACTTTTAAGAAATTTTAAGAAAAAAGTTTTTAGTTAGAGCAAAACCCAAGTAATTTGGGGAAAAGCCAGTCTGAATTAGTAAAAACCTGAAATCCCTGCTTATTTTCAAATGCAACTTATCTCGGTCAGTGGAGGCCCTGCTACAACTCCCTTTGATTTATAACAATCATTTGACACAGGCACATCAATTCTTTCATATAAATGGAGTTTGTTTTTGTGTCTTCTCTACTTTAAACACTTACACTGTAATTTTTTAATGATTATTAATTATTTTCTAATCACCTAACATCTGACAACTTGACTACATCCCTGTTCAATTTTGTTGAAAGCAAAGAACTGGAAACTACCTAACTTGCAAGTGACTTGCTATCCGGTCACTAGAGGCATTAGAAATTACTTGTATGATTTCTAGAAAGTTCTTTCACCTTGAGGTACCTTGTTTACAAAGTTAATTAACTGGGGTAAATCCCATAAAATTTGAATTGTACACCTTAGGATGTTCTCCATTGGCGGTGCAAAAGGCCTTTATGTTCCTGCTAAATGTCGGTGTTTCTGGTTGTGTTTAAGTACGTGCTCCCATGCGTAAACAGATGTTCTTCAATTCTCCAGGTGGCCCTTCGTAGACCTACTAACTCCCAAATGGAAAAACCTTAAGCCAGCCACAATCTGAACGACCACCGCAGTTTCAATAGTGCAGCAAAATGCCCCTGTGCCTGGAATGCTAGGGTCTCTGTTTAAGAATACAAACACAGTCCTCTGTCACTCTGGAGCCCAGAGCTAGAGACACGCCCAAGTCAGACGCAGTCACCTGAAGAGCAGCAGCACCGCCTGGGGAAAGGTCTGGAAATTGTTGTTCCTGTTGATCTGGTTGTTATCTCTCATGGCAACTTTCCCAAACATCTAGGTGAAGAATTAATAAGAAAAAAAAGAACAGATTTTGTCATACCAAAAAAATCCCATATGTGAATTTAGAACTGACTCAAGTCTGATCAACACCCACGAGGGCTTTCTCACGTGCTTGGCACTTCGTTCGTTCAACAAACATGTGCTGGACGTGAGTGAGTGGTGGGCATTGCGCTAACCACTGGGAACATGGTGAAGTCAGGCACATTCTACCCTCAAGGAGTTCCTACCCCGGGGAGAACACAAAGGTAACCAGACAGGCCACCCCTCCTGATGAGAGCTGGGATGGTCCAGCTGGACAGGAAAGCACAGGAAAGGCTCACATATCTGAGGCTGGGAGCTTGGCCAGGGAAGGCCTCCTGGGGTGACATTTAGGTCCAGAACTGAAGGTTAAGTAGAAGCCTGCCAAGTGACAAGGAGGGTGAAGAGTGTTCCAGACAGAGGGAGCACCACCTGCAAAGGAGCAGAGGCGCCACACACAGGTGCTCCAGGAAATGAACGAGTGTGCGCAGAGGTCGGGCTGCAGACACGCACAGGGGCCGGTGGGCAGGGGCTTGTGGGCCACAAGAGGAGGGTGGGCTTTACCCTAAGAGCCAGGGGAAGTTAGTAAATATTTTACTCTTGGGAATTATAGAAGCAGACTGACATTATAGAGGAGCCTCTGAGTGAACCGTGGTGGTACGCGCAATGCGGTTCACAGTTCCCTGAGACAACTCTTGTTTTGTGTGAGAACATCATGTCATAAAAGACCCTTCAGGGCACACAGCATCACACACTGCTGAATTACAGGGGCTCCAGTGTGCTGACTCTTCGTTTGTGACTCCTGGGAAGATTCCTAGCTACGTGCAAGTATTTCTATGCCTTCAGAATAAGAAAACAAGCACAACCATTTCCCTGCTGCTGGAGGACCGCCTCTGTCACTCACATCCCTCCCTTATCTGAAAGACGCATGTGAACCAGGGGAGAATGTGGCAGAGAGGCCAACGGGGAGGTCCAGCCCTGCATGTGCTCACCACTTCCCTCTCCGCCTGGAGGCTCTGCCCCTCACTCACCCAGTTCGTGTTAGGACTTAGCTGTTAATGAAGCCCCAGTCACTTTTCCCACCCCAAGAGGAGCTGGGAAGTATCCTGCAGCCCCTCAGCCAGGGTCACAGAAAGGTCTGGTTTCACGCTTCTTCCTAAAGGGATGCTCCTGAGGCAAGATGATGGCTCCAGTTCAGCCCTCATCACAGCATCTGGAAATCGTTTGTTTCAAGTGAGACTCTCACTTGGTTACAATAACCATTTCCTGTTGCTAAAATCAACTATGGGTTTTCTCAATCAGGTGACTCTCCCAAGACTCAGACGAGGGTGAGGGGTACCACTAACTCCAGCTTTCTGTGGCATATTCCAACCTCTCCTTGCTCTTCTGAGCCTGGTCCTCTCTGGCACAGGCCCTTTCCTGTGGAGCTCTCCTACAAGCCAGGGTTTTCTCATCTCCAGACCTCTTCAGCAGCCAAGGCATTTAGCTGAAAAATAATGACCTTGTCTTTCCATTCCACGTAGCCAAAGTATATCTTGCCACAGATTTGGGGCTACCCAGCCAAGGGGACCCTGGGGAGAGGTGGCTGGAGCTTACCTGCATGCCAATAACTGCATAGATGAAGAACAACATGGCTATGAGAAGGGCCACATAGGGGAGCGCCTGAAACAGAGGAAGCACGTGCCTCAGCGCAGGCCTCTTGCTGCTGGGAATGCTCAGGCGCAGACCCAAGACCCACATGGGGCCACATGCTTTGCTTTTCCGTGTTATATTGAAAGGACATCAACAGTGAGTAAGGACTTCTTAAACCCCAGCCCAGCACCACGACCTCAGGCCTGAGTATACCAGCCACATGCACACCTAGTGTTACGAAGCTGCAGGCAGGATGTGCTTTCCAGAGCCATTAACAGTGTATCCTGATCCTGAACAGTGTCAAGGGAGACACATCACTCTCATAATGATGTTTAAATTCATCATTGCGTCCCTTCATTGAAATTATCATAATTGATCAAACCATTCCAGAATACTGGACGTTCAGATTGCTTCCACTTTGTTTTGTGGGCATGTTTGGGGTGGGGGCAAGGGGCTACTGTAGATCATGTTGCAAAGGAACATCTTTATGCAAAATCACCTTGTGTCTGCTGAAGTATTTCCTTAGGGTGAAGTCTTAGGAGTGGAATTACTGGGTCAGAGGGGAAGAACCACTTTCTGGCTGTTGCTGTAGAAAGCAAGATACCTTTCTTAAAATGCACCCTTTCTGAAAGAACCACAGAGTCGGGGGTTGAGCTAGGGAAGAAAATGAGCTAGCTGGGTGGTCAGCAAGCCTGGGTTCTCTTAGGAACATCAAATACCAGTAAACGGGTCAGGTTAGACCCCCAGTCCTTTAACTCAACGCTTCTCAACTGCTTTTCTACCTCATCTCATGTGACAGAAGACGTCCACATGTATGGCACAGCTCCAGGGAGGGCCCAGACTGTTAAACCTAATGCCAATCACACATGCTTAAAGTGTCCACTTTCTCTCCTGAGAAAGGTCATCAGAAAGCCAGTGGCTAAAAACTTTCCAACCTGTGCCAGCTCTGGATCTGTGGCTGCCAGCCTGGTCTGGTGCAGTAGCACCATCCTGACAGCTGGCCTGGTTAATAGACTCCCACAGGGTTCGTTTCAGACTTTCCTCACCATATCCATATGCATTTTCTTCCCAGATAACCAAATATTTCAGAATTCTGTTGGCACTGTTTCTCGGTTTTTATGAACCACTACTCTCTGACATGACTTTATCTACAGTGACCAAGTCTTTTAAAAAGAAAGTTTAATAACTGCTCTTATTATTGCATGAATTCATTCTATTTTTATAGCAGTTCATTCAGAAACTTTGGTAACAACTGTCTAGGATTTTATCTGTTACCAAGACTGAGGCTCACCTGTCTGAGGGCCCCCGCTCTGCCCCGCCTCTCCCACAGGTGCATTCCAGTTCCTCCTACGACCTTATTTTCCCCAACAGGACTTGTGATTTTCCTTCATTAAGTTCTTGGATCTGCCTCCTTCCCCAGATGCCATTCCTTCTCCTCTTTATGCATTAAAATCCTTCCCAACACAGAAAAATGCTTCCTGGGATGTTGACACTGGTTCCCTCAGAGATGGAGGGTGGCAGTGTGAACTTTTCCTTTATATATCTTTGGATAGCTTCATTTATTAATGGGAGTATTTATTACGTTTGAATTAACAATAGTCAAATAACAAAGAAGCAAGGATTCATGATTCACTCGCTAATGTTTCTGCATATCTACAAATTCCCTACATGGGTGCACCTTTTAACAAGAAGAGATGACAAATGAGACTTGGCTTATGCCTAAATGTCCTCAACTCTGTAATCTGTCCAGACAATGGATAACCCAGAGACTGGTGATGGTGTGCTGGCTCGGGGGAAGTGGTCTCTGATTCGTATCTAGACTAGTTGACAGACAGGACAGTTGCAGCCTTATGAGGAGAAGCCATCCTAGCAAGAGGCTGTTAGGCTTCCAGGAGTCCACTGGGACCCTCACTCTAAAACATCACCATCCTACACTGGGCAGCGGGGGGAGGACTGAGGAGCTTGGAGGCTCTATCTCTATCAGCGTGGGAAACATTGCAGATCTCTCAGCTGCTGGTCCTCACTGCTTTCTTTTTTGTTTCCTTTAAGCAACTAATCTTATTTGATTTACCCAGGTAATACTGGGCCGGGTGTCTCCAGCATTCCATATTCGCTGTTGACTCAGGTGGTCATGTGACCCAGGTGGTCACAGTAGTCATGCAGAAGGGAGTCTGGATCCTCCATGACACGGGACAATCACTGACTTACATATGATCTTCAAAGACAAACAGAGAAGCCCTTGGCATGGCTCTTACCTGGAAGGACTTAATAAAAGTCCACAGCAATGTCCGGATGCCTTCCCCCCTGCTGAGAAGCTTCACCAATCGCATCACTCGGAAAAGACGGAAAAAGGTGATGGAGATTCTATTGCTCTCTTCAGAGTTCTGAAGGGTTATCATGGAGAGGTCAAACCCAATGGAAAGTAGAACATGCAACACTTTCAGAAAAACAGCAACAGATGCAAACAAAGGTGATAGAGGTAAGAATTGTTTCTAGGGCCTTTTCACCTTAAAAAGCATGATGTGAAAGGAAAAGTTACATGCTAACAACACAGGGCTTGGAAAACTGCGTCCACACAGCACATGCATGTCCACGTGGCCTGGTGTGTTAAGAGGAGAACGCTGGGCTGATCAAGAGAACTGGACACTAATGATGAATGCAAACCACTGCAGACGCCGTTCTAGAAGGACAACCATGGAGAATACAGAAAAACTAGTGGAAAACTCAACATGGTCAAATAAACTCAAGGAAAAGGCCCAGCCCCTGGGGACTCGTCACTGATCTTACCCCTGGAGTAGCAGTTGGGACAGGGACATTTTCACTTTCAGTTGGCTTTAAGAAATCAAAGATTGAACACACATTAATGAACTGGGAATGAAGCAGTGGTTCAGGAGGACATCCCCCTCCCCCTTTGGAAAAATTTGTGGTTAATGTCCTGGGACCACATGCCTGCTTCCTCCCTGAGAAAATGCCAGGGGCGCTGCTTGGAACTGGACTTGGTTGGGCAGCCACTGACACAGGCTCGGACACCTTACTTTCTAATGCACAGCTCAGGACAGGCTGCTCCAAGGCTGACAGACATCCAGTAAAAGATAATGCTGCAAGACCTCAGTGTCCCTAAAGACAGAAGTGCAGAGAGGGACTCTGCTCCTCGTGGGGACACTGCTTAGTCAGGACTGTGGGTCTCAGCAGCAGGCCACTCCTAACTCCAAGGAATCGAATGACTCTATCAAACGGGGCAGAATCATGGCAGCCGCCGTAGCCCACAGACCTCCTGGACCACAGTCTGTTCTGGGACGCACCCTTGGGCAGTATGTGTCCAATGATGCCGTCTCTGGCGGGGCTCCTGAGGAGCTGGACAGACTGAGTCAGTGTGAGTAGGAGAGGGGCTGGTTTCCCTACAGAAGCCTTCATGGCCCAACCTACAGCTCAGACTGTTGTCAGAGAAGAGAAAGCTCAGCTCCGTATGTATCTTGGGAAGAAACAGCTTAGGATCGGCTCGCCTGAGCTCCAGCAGTTCCATCTCCTCTGAGGTCTGGCTGGGTTCCTGTAGCTCAGGCCCCAAGATGCAGAACCACAGCACTCCTTGCCCTGTGCACACCTGTCACCCCCTCAGGCTGTGAGCTCCCAGAGGGCAGGGACCTTGTCTCACTTTGCTCAGGGCCCAGCATGGTATCCGGCACTTATTAGATGTTCAATAAGAGTTTAAGAGGATGCATAGAGTTTGTAAGCACACTCTTAATGAACATCAAGAGGCACCTTTAAATTACATAGTAAGGGCTGAATGAGAGTCGGGCAATGATGGCCTTCCTTTTCCCTTCATAAGGGTCACCTCCACAAGCAGCTGGTCTACCTGGTAACCAACAAAGGAAGGAGGCTCTGCTGGTGGGAGGTGGCGGGCCCAGAATTGCTGAGTGCAGCCCCAGGCTTCCAGGGAGCCTTTCTGCACAGTGTGTGCACAGTGAAGGGTGTGTCTACACGCGTGGATGTGCACGCTAGATTGACAGGTTCTCTTCCCTGGGGATACAGCGAAGTAAGGGTTCTGTTCTCAAATCTGCCTCTCATCAACAGCTGCCTCCTGAGATCAAATATAAAATTCTATAAAATTCATAGAAAATAAGGAGTTTAGCCATACCATATCACAACTCAAATTCAGCAATGAGACTGCAAACCCGGGACTAACAGTTCTGATACAGTCAAAAAGAGGTCCCTGCTTCCCCTGGAATGCTCAGAATGTGAACTCTCAATGGGTTTGTCCAGCCCAGGGTCACTACTTTTACTTTCTTCTTCTATTATCTCATCTCAAAACAAATAACACCTCCTTAAAGAGACAGATGATGGTTTTTAACTCAAGACTAACAAATGAAGGAATTAGTTTTCCAAAGTTTCCCACACCATCTCCCTGAGAGCTGTGTGGAGGGAGGATTCAGTCTCACCCATGCAGCTGGAGTGTGGGGTGTGCGTGCATGCACGCCTCTGTGTGCCTATGCTCAAGGGGACCAGCGTGGGCACAAGACAGCGCACATTACAGTGTACTTTTGAAATGTCCATAACTTGTGTGTTGGACCTGCAAGAGAATAAGGAGGCCTGTTGGTTGGAGAGATTCCTTCTGGCCACATCTGGCCCAAGCCCCTTCTGTGTGCTGCTCCCTGTCCTGCTCCAAGTCTGACAAACCTCGCACCACCCCCTCCCTGTGATGTGGGAGAGTTAGCAGCCGAACTGGCTTTTGAAGTGCACATCCCTTTTTTCAACTGATATCTTTGAAGTATGACAAATCTTGGACCGTGAACCTGAAGCCCTGGGTATTCTTTTGTTTAAAAAGACAAAGATGAAGAGGAGACAACATTTGTGGAGGGGCAAGGCAGCACAACATGCAAGAAAGGCAGGAAAGAGCAAATGGCACACCAAGCTGCGTGCACCCCCATGCCACCTGCGACACCATCCCCTTCCCCCACATGCCACACTGGGCAGGGAGGACCACTGAGGGGAGGATGTCACTAGTAGCACTGGGGGACAGTGCAAGTTGCCAAAATATCTTACAAGTTGGAGGTACCCTGAGAATGGCTTTGCCCAAACTACCAATGCCAGCCTGATGAAAAGAGCAGGGAGCTCTCACCCTGGGCTGCACACTGGAACTGCCTGGGGATCTTTAACACTTATCTGATGCCTAGATCCCACCCCAAAGATTGTTATTTAATTGATCTGGGGTGTGTCTGAGCGTTGGGGGTTTTAAAAGCTCCCAGGTGACTCTAACGTGCTGCCAGAGTGGAGAACCACAGTCCTAAGTCAGGGTAGAGCTGGGCCATGTCTTCACCTGGTCACCTGCACCAGAAAAGTCCCTTTAGGTCTGGAGTGGTCAGAGAGTGGGACCACTAGAGCTGAGCAGTGGGTTCTTTTGGAACTGATGAGAGTTCAGTACTCTGATGCATGCAAAGAGATTAGACTCCATCTCTATCTTCCATACAAAGGGTGGAGGCTGCCTGGAAACAAAAGGAGCTGGTAAAGGGTGAAAATGGCATGTGAGTGTGCTGATGCTCTGCCGGACTTCTGGGATCAACCACAGGACACCCATCAGATGACATGAGATTGGGGAAGGACTCACTCCCCAGATAGCTTTCCAAAGACAGCTGCTAGGGGCTGCATGATCAGTTTTCAGTAGAGGGAACCCCAGTGTCATCTCAGAGTTTGGACTAGATGACTTCAGTAGCTCCTTGCAACCCTCAGATGCCACATTCTTCAGCTGGGAACCCTACGGGGAGATGGCCACTCAGCCTCAGGTGGCCAAACTCTTTGCCAGGGTCTGGAAAGCTCCTTCAATCCCTGGGGCTCCCCTGATGTTCCCTCCAGCCTCTTCTCACAGGCTCCCAAGTGGGCTCTTGAGATAGAGGCTCAGGGCCAGCCCCCTGCAACTACAGGTGCTAAACAAGCCCTGAGTTCCCCGCACACAATCAAACGGATCAGTCCTCACTTTCTGCATTAATTCCCATCTATCCTGGAAAAGCTGAGAAGATGTGCTTTCCCAATTCAGACGGGAAGCAAACCAGCATCCCAGAGCCAGTTAACCTGGGGCATCCTGAGAATCCAGTGTTCTAGGGGAGCCTCTTTCTGACTACTTCTGACCTGGCATGTAACAGCTCTGGGACGAAGGGCTTCTGTCTCTGGGACTGCTGAGTCTGGGTCCAGAAACCAGCGACCTGATCCCTGGAAAAGGGTCAGCATACAGAATGGAGGGCTGAACAACCTGCCGACGGGTTCATGACAAGAAACTGAGTGCACCGAGTCCAAACTGGGTACCTGACAAGTCAGGGACAATTCTTAGGTGCCTGAGAGTGGGCTCCTACTGACTTTTTACATGCTCTTCAGTAAGTAATAACAAGGCAGACATGGCTTTTAAAGAAGTATTTTGCTTTCGCAGCAATGATGATAATGGGAAAAGACTACACATCAGCGACAGCCATTCCCTGGGTTAGGGAGAGTAAGATGCTAGGTCATTTCACCATTCAAGGAACATACTAGCATCAAAGAGGGAGCAAAAGTGAGCCTGCCAGCAGCCCTCATCTGACATTTTAGCAGCTGGTGATGTTATGACCAACTGTGATGGAGACAAGTCCACGAGAGCTATCAAACCACCACCAAGCAGGGTGGGGAGCGTGGGAGAAGGCAGCAGGATGGAGAGGGCTGGGTGAGCATGCAAGCAGGACAATGGAAAGGGCCATCCAAAATGTTTTTGCAAAGAATACAAACACAAGCTCGATTCCTCATTTTCAGGCCAGATCATTCATTCTTGAAGACTATGTTGGCATGTCACAGAGCCAAGTGTGACTGACCAAGATGGCCCCAGCTCAGGCCCCAGGCTGGAGACAATGAAATACAGGATGGGAAACAATTTAGATGACCATGACCAATAGCACGTCCTGTGAAACTCAGTGAAAACCAAAGGTGGGGAAGCAAAACGAGTACAGTCTTTAAAGTGCTTTTGCTTTAGCAACGACTTCACCGTATATATGTTTATATATACTTGCCGCTACAATTTTCTAAAAATAAAACCAACATGAAAATCAATTAGGCAACAGAAAAGAAAGATCTACAGAGGTTGGGGGAGAGAGCACAGCAAGTTAAATATTGCAAAAAATGATGACTTATGGCAGCTAAAAACAGCCAACAGTGGACCGAGAGTGTTCATGCTCAGCTGACCCGGGAGCTTGGGGACAAGGCTACCAAGGGAGATGATGTGTGTTGCTCCCCTGGGGGACCTGGCGTGTGCCGAGAGTGGGTGTAGGAACGAACAGTTCCACTTGGATAGTTATACCATCAGAAGGTAAGGACACCCAGTCTCTTTCATCTTTGTGCCTGTGGCCTGCAAATTGTAGATGCCCAAATAGCATGTGTTGAAAGACTGAATAAATGAGAAGGTGGCCTTAGGCATTGCCTCTGCAATGAGGCCCAGCACAGAATGCTGAGGTCTCCTAAGGTGGTATTCTACTGGCCCAGGGTGAAGAACTGGCATTGCCACCAGCTGAGGACAGTTTGGTCTCTGGCTACATCTGACCAGGGGAAAGGTCACTTACTGAAAAACAGTATGAGAATGCTTATGGGGTGATTTTGAAAGTCTGACTGAATGCCAAAATGGGCCAATGAAAGCCAGTTTTGTACAGACACCCAACGTCATAGGCTAACTAAAAAATGTAGTGTGGGCTTTTAGAGATCTCTGGCTTTCCTAACTGATGAAAGGTGAGGAAGGACATGTCTGAGACACTGATGAACATGCTGGGCTAGAGGGGAGAGGTCCAGCGGGCTCCTGCCCTAGCACAGGGCGAGGCAGCCAGGAAGCCAGGTGCATGCTGTTGCTGAGCGCACCAGCCAGCAGGTGGGTCAGGTGTTAGAGAGCTGGGCTGTTCACCTGACGAACAAACCTTGGCCACATTCTGGTACCCAGAAACTAAGCACAGACACCCACCACCTGCACAACACTTTAAGCACCGAGCACTCCAGGGAGACCTGGTCAAATTCTAGTTCATTATAATTTCACTTTCATTCTACACTGACTCTGACTTATATAGGGGTTCTTCCAAAATTTTCATGTAAGTATACTTTGATGCAGGTCGTAAGCACTTTACACTGCGAGATGATTAAGCAGGCAGATGTCTGCTCATAAACTCAGGAAAGAGCCCATGGCAGCCCAGTGAGGGTCCTACTGTTCTCCCATTAGGATCCGATTATTTTATGACCAAGCATAATTTACACATCATGAATGGCAATTTTATAGCTGACTTAAGGAGTATCTCACATAAAGTGGAATTTACAGTAAGTCTAGGCTGATGGAGGCTGGGGGATATATGTACCTAAGTCTAGTAAAATATCATTCTAGTACCTTGTCATAGGATGAATTTGGGTGTCATGAGGCTTAAATCACACCTTCATGGACATGGTAATGTCTTATAGTCCATTTCACTTATTATTACATGGAAAATCTACTTCTAAGAAAATACCGCAGAATCTCCGTAACATTTTGGGGTTTTAGCAGGTATTTTCACAAATACTCCTATCATTTTATCATCACAAGGTACCTACGAAGAAAGGAGGGCAGACATTCACCTCAGTTGATCCACGAGGGGACTGAGTTCCAGATCCAACAAGCCCAGTTTTGAACTAGGACTAAAACTGCCAGGCCTTGGGACTGCCAGGCCAGTGGCTGTCCCACTATTCTATACTCCAGAATCAGCCTGGCCCCAAAACCAGTGGCATAAAGAAATTTCATCATTCTCATTTGATATAGGCTGTCTGGGCACCAGGATGGACCATACAACCCCATAGATGTCAGCCAAGCAGAGCGCAGTGGCCCCTTTGCAGCCAGGTATTGAGGGAGGAGGGCAGGGCTGGCAACGGGCAACAGAAAGCCAACGCTGCACACAGCCCTGCCCCATGCTCTGCTCGGCCCCACAAAGGGCTCTACACAACCTGGGCACACACACTGGACACCCTCTAAGACTTGTTGATGAACTGGGGACAGCCCAGGTGGGCAGGGCCATTTCTGCCTGCCTCGGGCTCTTCTGGTCTAGGCATGGGTCAGATCCAAGAGGAGCCAGTGTGAGGCGATGCTTCCCTTTCTTGAGCCTCTTAATTTTGAAAGAAGGTTCTCAGGATGCTTCTTGAAGCGGGGGTTCCACCTCCCATGCTGCTACTACACTTGTTCCCTCATCAGAGGATTTGATTGAGTGCAACAAAGGAGTCCTGACACCCTCCCCTGAGATGCCCTGGGCCCTCCTTCCCCTGCTCCAGGGCAGCCTTCAATCTGCATCACTGTTTGGACAGTGTTCCCCAGTGTCACCAATTGGATGCAGCAGACACAGGGTACAAGTGAGGACACCAGCAGTGTGTCCATGTGCTCAGGGCACAGCTGTGCGGTTTCCCTCTTGTGCCTTCCCAGAACCACTGTGGGGACCAGGGCACATGTTATGTGCTCCGTTTTACAGCTGGAAAAACCAAGGCACAAAGCCATCAGGTGACCTGCCAAGGTCACAAAGCTAGCAGGTGATAATATTCACTTATATAACTAACTCCCAGCCCTTAACAATTTCACAAGGTCTTATTTTAAAATAACGTCTTAGTTCCAAGATAGTCATTCTACAGTTACTTCCCTGCTCTCTTTCAGGGGAGGGGGCTGTGGCGAGCGAGGGTAGACTGCAGAATGTTCTTAGTCTTTCAAAACAAGTATGTGCATGAATTTCTAAGGTGCAGAGAGATCAGGGATGGGGTTTCTAGTCTCCTCCATGTCAGATAATGAAAACAAGCACGTTACTGGACACGAAGTTTGCTACTTACATTCACTTCAGTTATAGCAATATCAACGACGCTACCAACAACAATCAAGGCATCAAAAGTGTTCCATGCATCAGTGAAATAGTGCTGTTAGGGCAAGCATTCAGAAGCCACAGAGGAGAGGAGGCACAACAGGAAAAAAGAAGAAAAGGACAGTGTTATAAAACAGGAACATTCTAGCATTATGCCACCTGGCTACTTGAAAAAGTCGCCCTAAAACAAACACGTTATAGGCACGTTACTTTGGGTATCGCCTCTGATCCAGCAAAGAAAAACAATTATGGATGCTATCATGCCCTGCCTACCCCTGACTTGGGTAATGCTGCCACACAGTCAGTCCTCCAAAAGGCGATCTGTGTCCAAAAAGGCCCAGGATAAGGCTCTACCCTCAGTGGCCTCTTTTCCACAGCTCTCATTAGGCAATTCCAGTTTAGATCAAGTGAAATTGGGATCTGTGACTTGTCCAGGTGATGCGAGTGCAGGGCAGGGAGGGGAATGTGCACAGACAGAGAGAGGACAGGAGGCGGGTGGCCACAGGCGGGCGCATACTCACGTCAGCTTCGCTGAGGGCCACGTCTATAATGCTGCCGATTACGATGAGGGAGTCAAACGTGTTCCAGGCATCACTAAAATACCCCTGGACAGAGCAGGCAGGAGGCAGACGTTTATGAGCACCAATGAATGAAACGCCACACGGACCATATGGGGACATGTCCGAGGCCCCGCAGCACCCATGGCAACCAGGTGGGGCGAGAGAGCCATAGGGAGGCAACAATACTGTCCACTGGTGGAAAGGGACACGGAAGGGTGTGTGCACCTGCATGTGAGAGAGAGGGTGCACGCACACAACACACCACACACGCACGCAATGCACAACCATGGCCCTGAGCAGCCCCAGACCAAGCAGAATGTCCGCAGGACAGAGGAAGGCATCTGGCAACCCTGCCCTGGCACCAGGGTCGCAAACCCAAACCCTCAGAAGCTGATGGAAGAGCAAGGCCCTCCACTCCTTGTGCAGGGTCCCTAATCACCCCACTTCCTTCTCTTCTCCCACTTGAAGAGCACTGTGACCAGGCATCTCACACAATCTCATTTCTGTGCCCTTAAAACAAACTGGTAACCCTTCCCTTCTCCCTCCCTGCCAGTCCAACAAGAATTACAAAGGCTGTGCCCTATGGCAGGATGCCTGAGACAAGTCCCTGTCCTCCCAGAGGTCTCGGTCTCACAGGGACACAGACAGGTGGCAATGGCCTACAGGGAGATAGGCACAGTGATGCACACAGTCCAAGGCACAGAGTTGTGGCAAAGAAACTCAGTCCGGGTCGTGGGGGTGGGGGCTCTGTAGGGAAGCCATGGCAGGTGTTACGGAGGAAGAGGGCAGTGAAGGATGACAAGGATGCTCAAGGGCTCACACTATCCTCAAGAGAAGCCCCAAATCCCCAGCTGGCTCCTCCTCCCTCCAGCCCTTGCTCTCGTCCCCTCCTTCTTCACCTTCCAGGCTAAGAGGACTCCTTTCCATCCCTCAAAACTACCACCATGTTCTTCCCCACCTCCAGAGGCTAGTGCAAGCCTGGCCTCCCCACCCCAACTCTATCTGCCCAAATCCACTTCCTCCTTCAAGGTCAGAGAAAATGCCAGCTCCCTGAGGGAACCTTTTCAGATCCTCTTGGCTTCCATCTCCCATCGTGTTGACTGTGTATCTCCCTCATGTCTTGATCACCGAATTTGGGGTCTGTCTGCGGGTCTACCCCACCAAAAGCCCTCTGAGGATGAAGACTGGGTCTGTCTCCTCCTCCACTAACTCCACTATCTAGCCCAGAGCCTTGAACCCAGTTAGTGCTTGACACGTTGCAATGTCTCTTTCATCCACCAACGTGCACCCTACGGTCATTCAGCTCTGCCCGGTTCTTGTTTTTTCAGGTTCTCATATCTTGTCACAATTCTGAAGGTACAACACATCCCTATAATTGGGACTTACAAGTCCACATACATGTGGCGTACATTTTATGTACGTCCTCTTCTGGGCTCAGTACAATAGGTGCTAAATTAGCACCTGTTGTCTCCTGACACCCCCAGGGAGTCCTCAGTTGGAGGGGGTGGTGGGGAGCACTGTGCACAGAGGCTTCTGGTTGCAAGGTCAATAACTGTCTGTAAATCAATTGTGTCTTTTCAAAAAGTCAGAACATGTTTTGGAAATAAAAATTCAGGTCTAAATTATATAAAAAGGTGTCCAGCATGCCTACAACTGGGTACACTTAGTGCTCGATCAAGAAAACCAGAGCAGAAGGTACTTTGAAGTGACAGGTCCCATGAACTTATGATCAAACGCAGGCCCAGAGGAAGCCACTGCAGAGCCCAAGCCTTTTATGATGCGACAGAAAATGCAGACGTGTTGGCTGTCCTAATAACTGGAATAGGGATGTTTATTCTAGTTACTGTTAATCACTCAAGTGCATTTACGGGGGAGATATGACACTGATGGTTTGGGTGTTTAAAAAGCTCATCTTAAATAATGTAGTATCTTCCCAACCAGCTCCCGTGACTTCTGACTCACTCTTCACGCCTCTCCTCCTGTCCTACAATCATAGTGCCTCTCTCACACATCACCCTAATCGACTGCCACCCTCCCAGACCTCCATCTTGTCCCTCTAACAAGTAAACAAAAGAAGCTTGCCTGCGTCCGTTCTGATGATCTGTATATCCAAGCCTAATGGCAAGGTCTACTTAATAAATAGCACATTTCAGACCTGCTAGATTTTCCTCCCATGATGCATGATCCCTGGCTGGTAAGAGGAAAGGCGGCCACTTTGAGGACCAGACTAGCGTCACTCAGCATGCCAGTCATGCTGGTCAGAGATGAGATAAAGAGCTTGCACCAGGACATAAAGGAACACACTGCTTCCTTCACTGAAGACGACTCCTAACAGAAAAGTCAGCTGGATCAAACAGTGTGCTGAGTGCGGCCACTGATGCACCCAGGTGGTGAGAAGACAGGTTCTCTTGTACATTGCTCACACGGTTGCAAGTGGGTAACATACAACTGGCTGACTGGCAGCCTTGCCATAGAGTAGACTTCAGGGGCAAAGCCCACCCTTCTCTTCGTGGATTTAACAGCAACTCAAATGCTAACGAGAGCGAGGTGATCCTTCCCCTCTGACGGAGAGAGGAATTGATGCCTTAATAAAATAGTTGGTCATCCTCAGTGACAGTCAGGCCTCTAGGGTACAAAGACTGCAGTAGGAGACCAAGTGTTCCTCCTCCTCTCCCGTCCCAGCACATGACCAGCCCCTGCCCATGTCTGCACCATGCGCTCTGCTCCTCCTGTTACACAGCATTGTTTACCGGAGGCCAAGCCCACCTGTGCACAGGATGCCAGCCCCTCTCACCCACCTTGGACTTTATTCCTCTCTCTCTCCTGTTCTCTCCCCACCCCCTGAAATATCAGTATTCAACTTCGAGTCACTCTTATCAGCCTACAAACTATTGTCCAATGGCCCATTCTGGCCCACTGTGGTGTATAAAGTCCCTTTAAGTCAATATGATAGGAGCTTAACATTTGAATCCTGGAACGCTCTGGCAATCTTATTAACTCTCTCTCCAGAAGATCTTCACGCTCACAAAATTGTGCCCAAATCCTAGAGGGTCTATGGACTGAAGGCTGACACCCCTAATCCAGTGACAGGAGGCTTGAGTTAGTGCAGGTGGCTGGAATCAGAGGCTCTGACCAGGTGGCTCTGCCAGGGGTCCAGGGGAGGCAGAAAATGCCAGCCTTTCCTTTCTTCCCACAGCCTGTTCCCCTATTTAGTAGCCTCCTATGTAATAAAATCACTGTCAAGAGAGCATGACTCAGTCCCCCACCCTTTCCCCACCAAAGTCACCATAATGTCTGAGTAACCAGAAGATGAGACATGAGCTTCTAACCGAGAGTCCATCTCCATGCTCTCTCCTCTTGGCCAATGGAGAACTCCTATAATCGAATGCTGAGTCCAAGGCCACTCAAGCGGAACCAGCCACCCCTACCAGCCGAGCCAGAGTCAGCCCTTACATTATTTATCGTCCAGCCCCACCTGCTTGAAAAGACCAAGCAAGTCCTCTGCATGCAATAACATCCATTGCTCAGAAACATGTCTGACTCTGGGAACTAAAGTCATAAACCAGACTAATGTGGGCCTTAGGGCCAGGAAGCTCCATTATTTCTAAGAATTCTATTCTGATTATCAGTCGATGTTTGTTTCCTGCCCAACTGTAGGCTTCTGGAAGCAGGGCCTGGACCTCTAGCCAGGATAGAGCATAGGTGGGGCACATAGCAGTGGGGCAATGTCTGTGGAATGGAGACAAGAAAAGCAGCCCAGGTCCAAGTTCTTTCTGCTGCCTGGAGTCTCTCTCATCTGTAGATCTAAAGACGTCTACACAAATGACCTGTGTTTTGCTGTTTACCATGGCAGGCAGATCACTCACCAATTTCTGCCAGGGATTTTGTGGGCAGTGTCTGACCCAAGTGATGACCCATAGTGCCAGCTTTTGCTAGAAACTGTAAGCAACAGCTTTCTAACTAGCATGAGCCTTTTCCAAAGGTCAAGTGAGAGCTTAAAGAAAAAGCTCTTCACTTTGAGCCACTCTACTGTGCCCAAACATCCTGTGATGGAAAAGCATGTGCCATCTGAAAGCCTCCTGGCTATCTAAAGGCTCTACACCTCAAGGCTCATTCATTCATTCCTTTCAGTTATTCCATCCATTTATTCCACCAATCTTTACTGAGTAACCAGCATGTAGCAAGCACCATGTGAGACACAGAAGCCCCAGCCTGTGATCTTGAGCAGCTGCTTATCAGCTATCAGAGTATCGATGATGGTGATACACAGTAACCTCTAACAGATGCACATGGGAAGGGAAGAGCTGGCTCTAGCTGGGCTGGTAGGGATGGTGTCACAGAGGAGCTAACATTTCAGACAGGCCTTACAGGATAACAAAGTGGGAGAAGGGCCTCCAGACACAGAAGCATGTGCCACAGTTGGGGATGGGGTAGGAGGAAGGAATGACAGGGAGAAAACGGCCGGAAACGAGGCAGAAATGTAAATGGGCCAGTGTTTGGTGGAAGACTTTCACTATTAGACTAAGAAAATTGTGTATTTTTTTCTCCTGCAATAGGTGGCTGGTATCAGAATTTCATTGGAAGAATGTGTGGTCAGCTCTGGGTCTGAAAAAGGAGTATGTGGAGGATGAATGACGAGGGGCTGAGGCCAGAGGCAGGGAGATGATTAATAGTCAGAGTAACTCAGGAGAGATGGCAGTAGAGGCTTGCATGAGATGGAGCTGGCCACCAAAGCTCCGGGCGTGTACACAGTTACAGGGGAGAAGGGGACGAGGAAAGAGCTCTAGGGAACCCTAACGTTGAAAGGACAGGCTGAGCCCATGAAGAGGTCTAACATTAAGTTCTAGTTAAGGAGAGGGATATTTGGTCTCAAGTGTTATTTGGCAGTAAAATAAATCCCCTAAAATATATGTGATCACGGAAGAACTGAAAAGACAGTATCAGATTTTCCTTCCAGGAGGTGAAGAATGTACTCCAGGAAGATTGCAGGGGCTTGATCAAGCAGCCTTATTCCCACCAGTGCTGTGCTGGGAGGCTGACAGGACCAGATGACCCAGTGTCCACTGTGTACCTGCTCTGCACAGAGGCACAAGGACAGCACTAAAATATTTCTCTTACCCAAACCCAACCACTTGACTTTTTCCAAGCCCAAGTGGCTAGGCATGTAAATTAGACATTTTCAAGGTAGAACCAAGATCAAAATGCTTTGAGGTCTAAGACTGGAGAACAAAGTGTGCCTCTCTGGGGAAAAGCCCACAACCAAGGCAGGTAAGGTGGCCTGGAACATGTCCTGGACAAGACACCAGATGGGTGATGCCTGGAAGCACAGAGAGGGAACCTCAGACAAACCAGAAGTGTTCTTTCTACCTGCAGGAGCCAGCACTTTGGAAAAAGCCCTTCTTCTTCAAGCACCCTCCTTGGAGCGAGAAAATTCCAGTGGCTCCCCTTGGGATTACTGGAGGGAAAGGTCAGGGGAACAGAGCTTGTCTCTTACCTAAATTATGGCCAACCTTTCAAAACCCTATGGCAGCACAGTCAACTCCAAGTCAAAAGCACAAACGAGAGTGCATGAGGTCAACGCCCACCAGTGGGGTTTTCCCGGAGAACTGATGCACTCACTTAACAGCCTGCTTGCTTTGACCTAATTCTCTGGCTTCTCACCACCTCTCTCGCTTATCTAACCCAGGCTCAAAACAACTCTTCCCATGCAGGGAGCCTGCCTCCCCCACCAGAGAAGCTCCCAGCTCTGGGTTTCCTGCTTCTGAGACTCACCTCAGCCCTTCTGCTTCTGGAGGACCCCGGGACATGTCCCTCTAGACGTGCTCTCTCTCAGGAGGCCCGGTTTCCCAGTCAGGCTCTTGAAGAGAGAACACCACCCAGGGTCAGGTTTCTCAACTTCTTTTAACTCTTCCTCCTACAGGGCCTTCTTGCCTCCCAAGAAGGATTTTGTTGAACTTTACCTTCTGTATATGTATTTCAAAACAGTTGCCACCCTGTCTCTCCTGACAGAGACGCTGATGAGTTCTCCTCAGGTGTGCCCCTCACGGTGGAGAACCCCGCCCCACGGACCCTGTCACAATCTCCTCACGGGAGACAAAGACTTTCCTGAGAGGAGACTGATGGGCCAGGTTGCCCAACCTTCTGTCCTAGTAGCCATCTCCTCAAAGATTCTTCCTCTGCAGCTTTACAACATGGTTCCTCAGCCTGACTGCCCCTCTGACTGCGCAGGAGGGGCCTCATTAACTCCTCTGTGAAAGACCCCTGGCCTGGGCTTGGTTGGCTAACACTGAAGAGAAGACGAGGAAAAATCAGGGAGCGTTTTAAGGAGGGCTTTGCTTCCTGGTGAACTGCTTCTCTCTGGCTCCTTCAGACACATAACAACATTAAATCTCTCCCCCTGGCTTGGGCGAATGCAGCGACAGTGCTCCTCAAGCGTAGAGATGCCACTTTGGCTGTTTTAAAATCTCTCTCAATTGTAATCTGAGGTTGTCTTACGTAATGAAAATATCCTGTTGGGTAAAACTATAAAGCGGCACAATTTCTTGCGGAAATCAGTCATTTTAAACCTCTGATCAATCAGTACTGATTATCAATTAACTACTCATTTCCCCTTATTATCACCAGTCTGTTCACACGCCACTGAACTCTCCTCCCAGGTTTGGTATCAGTGGTTTACTGGGCACAGCAGTGTGCTGTAAGCCATTGATGCGATGGCCTGAGAGAACCTACGCACACACAGACACACACTGACACACACACGCCATGGGCGACTGTGCCTTCTCTTCAGCCTGGACCAAGCTTTCAAAAACTTCAGAGCTTCATCAACAGGCAAGGGAAGAGACGGCAGAGGATCTAGGAAATGTTCCATAGATACATTCTGTGTTGCATTTCTCAATAACAATTTTCATATTCTAACTTTGCAACCTTTTCCATCAGTCCAGACAAATATTGTTCAAAGAAGTAAAGGGGAGAGGGAAGCAAATCAAAAATCTCAAAGGAAATTAAGATGAATTTAGAGAAGAAGGAAATGTTTATGTATGCAGATATGGACAAGTCACAGTAAATAACATCTGGCCATGCATAAAGTCCAAATTTGACCCCACTGCAGTCACCCCAACTGATCACTTACAAGTGTCCTTTCTTTTTGGTCCACAAAGATCTGATAAAGATTGCATAGAAATTAATTCAAATTAAAGAAAGGAACAGTTTTGAATTAGAATTCCATGTAAGTATGGAGTATGTGAAACCATCATTTCATAATCCAAGTCTTAAATTACTGTTGTCAGATACCCTACACACAGATGAACAAGTACGTGGTCACTAACTCTGACAGTTGGAAGCTTTGCTAGAAAAGAAACTGAGGGTCAAATGTCCCACAGAACAGCCAGGATTTGCCCCTCTGTCTAGGGTCTTAGAATGAGGGAACATCATTGCCTGATGATGGTGAAGACGATGGTGGTCATAGTAACAGTACTGACATGTCTACAGCATGGTACCATATGTCAAGTATCCTTCTAAGCATGGCACAAATAGTGATCCTTTATTCCTCACAACCACCCTATGAAATAAGACTATTACTGTCCCCATTTCATGGATGAGGACATTGAGGCAGAGAGCAGTTAAGTAACTTGCTTGAGTTAGCAAATAGAGAGTAGGGATTTGAATCCAGTCTGGTTCCAGAACCATGCATGCCTTGCGACACGGCACTGTCTGCCTCTTATACTACAGACAATGACAACTGTGGAACTGGATTCATTCCCTCCAAAGGAGACACAATATGCTGAGTAGTCCAATAGAGTTTAAAAATTTCATGTCTTGTTTTGTCTTAAAGTCAAGTGAAATTTTTCTAAATTAAACAAACGAAAGATGGTATGGCTGTGAGACGTCTGCAGCAGCTAGAATTTCCCATAAAAGGTGAAAAAGATGCTGTAGACCAGGAACGAATAAAACCAAAGTCTTCATGCTCGAAATCTAAAAGTAAAATCAGGGTTGAATTCTTTCTGATGGGTTATGTTAAAACAATTCCTCCAATGCTCGAGTAATGAGGCCAGTTTCCCCAAGTCAGCATGATATATGCTATTCTAGAAACAGAAAATCAAGTTTCAAAACAATCTCCATTCTACAAATTCCCAATTCTCTCTTCCCTTCTTCTTTTTCTCAGAACTGTTTTTACGAGGTTTTGTTTTTGCAGATTTATTTTCCCACATGTATATAGATGCCTTAATCAGATTTTAATGTTCTCAGGTGATAAGCCAGTTAGCAGCCAGAACAACGCAGCCTAAGACTAACAGGAAGTGGGTGCTTCTCTTGGGTGATTCAGCAACAGCCTTTGAAAAGTAGGTTCAACAACTCACCTTAGGTTTAAATGCAATGACTTTCAGAACCATCTCGACAGTGAACACCCCAGTGAAGACCATGTTCAGAATGTCCATGGCATCATTAAACATCTTGGACTGCTCATAGTGCTGTGGATGAAGACACAGGCACAGTTGTCAGAGATCCATTCCAGACTTGCAAAAGGAGGCTCCCCAGCCCTCTACTTCCTGCAGGCCTCCCCCCTCCACCTGGACATGGAGGCAACCTACACAGTCCAGCATCCTCTCCCAACGATTCCACTGGCACTGCGAGGTCACACGGTTAATTCCCCACAAAGCGCAGGGGGGCCTTGACAAGACGAGGATGACTGGATGATGACGGGGAGACACCAATTTCCTCTGCTCAGGATAAAGGTAATCTACCCTTTCTTCTGGCAGAGTTTATACTCAGGGCCTTGACCCAGGCACAATGCAGAACACACCCACAAGTCTATGAATACAGGTAGGATTTGATTAGGGATAAATTTTATGCCATTTAGGTCTATGTTCAATAAACGGCAATATTATCTTGACTTTATCAGCATATGGTCCTTTCCAGTCATAAAGAATTCTTAAATGTAAGGAAAGTGCCAGAAAATTTATCCTTGGCTGTCTTTAGACAGATTTTCCAGACAGCACTGGGAGTTGGTTCAACTCGCTCAAGTTCTTGAAGTCAGTGTGAAAAATGAACCTAGACCTTGGTGTTTGCTTCCTGTCCTAGTGCAATATCCACTAGACCACATAACTGCTGGAAACGCTCACTGTAAATACCGCACTGTAGTCCAACTTGGCCAATTGAGTTGAGTTGCATTCTTTGCCCCCAATGTGAGCAAGGAAGAGCTGTAATGTAGGTCAAACCCAATACTCCATGAACCAGAAGATTCCCCCCCACCACTGAGAGCTCCTTGAGGACAGGGACGTGACTTAGGTTTCATTCTTCAACATTGGGTGTTTACTCTGTGACAGGCCCAGAGCGAAATGTCTGACAGGAATTATGCAGTATAAACTCTATTTCCGAGGCAAGCATGATAGATTTCCCATTTTACCAGTAGAGAAAGCAAGGCTCAGGGGATTTAAATAACTTTCCCAAGGTCACCCAGCTGGTATGGAGTCAAGCCAAGATTGAAACCCGTTTTCCCAACTCCACACAGAGGGCTTTAGTCCTCAAACACTCCCCAGCCACAAGAGGCCTACAGTCAATGTTTACGCAACTGAATGCCACGCTCAGGCTCCACGGAGACGTAACAGTCACACCGCACAGTCTCTTAAAGAAAAGAGCGATCTTAAACTCCTACCGTGACAACTGTTAGCCAGAATGGGATTCTGGCCAAACTACAGCCCAGACTCCTCAGAAAGCAAACCCATCCTCTTGTGAGGGGGCGGCACTCCACCCTCAGCATTTGGGGCATGGGGCTGTGCAGACGCCCAGACGTGACCCCACGGCTGTCTCCATTTTTACCTGCATGGCCAAGCAGAGTGTGTTGAGCATGATGAGGACAAACATCATGTATTCGAAAGGCGAGGAGTTCACCACGTACCAGAACTTGTACTGGTAAGGGTTTTTGGGGATGTATCTCCGCAAGGGACGTGCTTTCAAGGCGTATTCGACACACTGACGCTGCAACGGCAGAAAAGAGCAGGAGGGTTCCTGAGCACATGCACGGAAGAAGGACACCATTGTCGTCTGTTCTGAAAGGGCCACCGCACACCTACCAGGAGGGACCACGGCCCTGGGGGAAACTGCTATGGCTACCACCACGGGCACTACTCTGCATTGCTGACAGAGGGCCTCTACCTCCATGACCTCACCTGACCCTCACAGCAACCTAGGGGCAGAGCACCTGATTTGCTTCCATTTCACTTGTTGAAAAACTGAGGTTCGGAGCTCTGGACCGCCTTGCCTGAGGTCTGGCGGTACATAAACAGAGCAGCGAGGCCTGACTCAGGTTTTATCCCTCTCATTCCTCTACACCAGAGGATTACAGCTGCACTTCTCCCGCCCGTGCCCTCCTCCAGGAAAGGAAGCCAGGTAATGAGAGGCACGGAAATCCTCGGGAACCAGAGAGGCTGGGCTCACTCCCTGAGACTGGAGCCCCCGCTGCTCCAGGACGGACCCACACAAGACACCTTTGAGGAGCCAGAGCATATTGACCATAAGTGTCTAATGGTGAGCTAGCTGTGTGCCCATCATGGAGCTTGTGAGGCTGGGGAGTTTGTCAAGATCCTCTCAGAACCCCCAGGACGTGGTCAGTAATGATGGCCAGAGCACCGTCCTCCCCATTCACTCTGGGGCTGAGACTGGTCCACACTTTGCACTAAGCCCAGAGGGAGCCTCTGGCTCACCATCAGGCTCTACCTGCTCCTGGGCCCAGACCTCCCCCGTTCCCCTGCTTTGACTGTGCGTTCTGACTTCAGACCAGCTCCCTCTGTCGGGGACCCGGCCCTGCTCTGACCTCACCTGCTGACTCCAGAGACCCCTGATTTGAGCCTGTTCTGGACCTCAGGTGGTGGCACAATTTCAGCTCTGGTGTTGCCTGGCTGGCCTGGGCCTGGGTCTTTCCCTGACACTCGTCTGTGGTGGTGGCGGTGGTCGAGAGGCTAAAGAGTTAGGCCAGGCCTTCCCCTGTCACTGGTGGAATCTGCAGGGACGCCTTGACAACTCAAAGCAACATCTTCCTACAAACCAAGTGACACTGTCCTCGTGTTTCCCCAGCGGGTACAGCTGCAGCTGGGGATAGTGCCTCACCACAGCAACTTCCCCCCAGGAAGCCCAGGCATAGATGATTCTTGCTCATTATGTCATCATCAGAGATGCTACCGATAGAGGACCTGGGGGAAACTCCCAGTGCAGAATCTCGATCTCACAGACAATCTTTTAGGGCTGAAACGGACCTCCAAAAGCAATCCTTAATGCCCTCAATTCAGAAAAACGGAACAGGCATAGAGAGGAGCGGGCATGCACCGAGAGTCACAGAGCAGGTGCAGGCAGAACAGGACCAGAACGCAGGTTTCCCTGCTCCCTCACATCATCACGTGATCAGAGCCAAGAGCCCCTGCTTCTATCTGATTGGTTAAAACAAGGTGCTAGACAAAGAAAGAATGATGCCAGGGCAATCCTAGTCCCAAGTTTAAAGTTAGTGACTTTCCCTGTGGTGTGATAGGGTATTTCCTCCTAAGTCAATGGTTCTCAACCAGGCGACATTTGACAATGTCTGGAGATGTTTTTGGTTGTCACATCTGGGAGGGGAGGGAAAGGGGTTGCTACTGAAATCTAGTGGGTAGAGGCCAGGGATGCTGCTAAACATCCTACAAAGCACATGAAGCACTACACGGAGTGATCCAACCTAAAACGTCAATAGTGTCGAGGTTAAGGATACAGAAGACTACATCTCAGGAGGGACTGTGGGAGCATCAGTGGGTGCTCTCTAGCCCCTGGGCACACCCCCCTACAAGATTCTGAGCTGTCACTAGGGGGTTATGACCACAGAAGGTGGCCTAAGCATCCTTTGACTTCTCACCCACAGGTCTGGGCTGGATTTCACAATTATAAAGTCTAATCTGTATCTGGGAACCTAACTCTCAACAGCGATGACTCAACTGGCTGAGAATGCCCTCTGAACAGGACTCGAGCCCAGGGACAGACAGCAGATGGGTACCCTTCTCTGTGCATGGGTGACATCGTCAAGAGAGAGGGCAGTCCTCTCTTGCTCAAAGGACAGAAGCCCAAACATTGTGTGACTTTAACCTGATTTTTGTCCAGCTCACAGTTCTTATACTCTTTCTCTCCCTGCTCCTGAAACGTGACGATGACGAAGCCCACAAAGATGTTCATCATGAAGAAGGCTACGATGATGATGTAGATGATGAAGAAGATGGAGATCTCCACGCGGTAGTTGTAGATCGGGCCAACATTCTCTCCATTCGAGTCGATGGCTTTATACAGCAACCTGGAGAGCAGAGGACCACGTGAGCGCTGCCAACCCCTTCAGCCAAATCAGCCCAGCCCTGCTGCCTCCCAGGCGTGTCCCTGTCCTGGACACTTCTGTGGGCACTGACTGCCAGACCCCTCCCTGGGAGCCCACCCTAAGGCCCCTGGACAGCAGCAGGTGTCTAAGGATCCTCCTTCGCATTAGGCCCAGTCAGCACAGCCCCTAGAGGGGGACACCTGGGATATATTTGTTGATAGATTGTTTTGAGGACTGAAAAACAAAAGATTTCACAAATATTCAACAACAGCCCTTGCTACTCACAGAGAGAAGAGAGGCAGAACGTCTCACATTAGACAGAACTAAAAACCGTATACACACTGGCAAAGGCGATAAGCAAGCAACCAGGGGTTTCCAAGGAACTAAGAGAGGTTCCCCCAAACTGAAACATGCACTAAAATTAAATCTGCGCCAAGCAGAACTCTTAACAGGGAGAAGGGGAATTATTCTAACACCCTCAAGTTAAACGACGTCCATTCGGATGCAGATTCAACAACGCCAGGGCACCCACCCCATGGACACACTGTGCTAGACACTTTCACATTCACCTGGAAAGGCACAGATCACTGTCATCCCCATCTGACGGAAGCTCAGAGAGGGACTAGAGTGCCCAAGGTCACACCCCTCAGGGCAGGCCTGGGAGTTGAGCCCAGCTCCTCTGAGCTCCAGGTTTGTCCATCTCCCCTCAGCTGCCCCTCTGATTTGCTAAAGTGCAGTTTTGAAACCTGAGACTGCAGCCACTGCCTCTGCAGAGCGAAGGGTCTACATCCACGCCTCTTCTCTCCCCAGGAGGAATTTTCTAATGAACAAGCCCCACCCAACCGTCCTTTTACTCTGCAGGAACTCCTGTAAAGATCTCTGACTCAGGGCCGGCCTGGTGGCATAGTGGTTGAGTTCACGCACTCCACTTTGGCAGCCCAGGGTTCGCCAGTTTGGATCCTGGGCACAGACCTACACCCTGCTCTTCAGCCATGCTGTGGCAGTGTCCCACATACGAAATAGAGGAAGACTGGGGGTGGGGTGGGGCATCAGAGAACAGAGAGTAAAAAGGTACAAGAGACTCTCCTGTCTTGTTCTACCTTCTTTCTTCCTGCATTTCTTACTTTAGCCATCAAAATCCAAGGCATGCTTCAGGACCCTATTTTGCACTTCTCTGACACACCAGACTCCCCTGCCTGGCTGGCTGCCTGACACTCTGACAGATTTGGGCTTCGAAGCGAGCGACCACATCAAGACAGCTCTGTTTCTTCCATGGTGCCTACCACAGCATGCTGCACAGAGCTGGTATCAAAAGCACAGTTTACGAATGAGCAAGTGAGTACATCAGCGATAGATGTGGCACAATGGCAGCCATCCACGCCTGGCACATATTAGCACTCAGTAAGTACTAGGAAGGAAGGAATGAATGAACAAGTGGTTTGGGACACTCTCAACTCCTTCTTTAGGAACAGTGGGATGGCTTTACTGATGTGGCTACCAATGCAAGTTGGCATGACAAACACCTCTGAGGACTCCCCACTGGCCCACCCAGAGATGCTCCCCAGGAGCCAGCTGAAATGAGCCACCTGCTTAGGATCTATGCCACTCCTGCCTCACAAATCCAAGAGCCCCTTCAGCTGACCACAAAGGCCAATCATTTGCTTAATCGGACAGGGGAGCCCTGTGGGCCAAGAAATGGTTGATAAGTGGCCCGAAGTGAACAAGTCATAGGAAAAGCCTGTCACTGTGGAGAAAAGAAGCAGGACTCACTCCAGGAGAGACAGCTCGGCCCAGAGTGCCCCAGGAAGCAAGTAGCAGCCTCCTCAGAAGATGTCCGTGCTCTATACTTACGCAGGCCAGCCCTCAAACGTGGAGACCGTGAAAAGCGCCATCATAGCAGAAAGGACGTTGTCAAAGTTGAAATCACTGTTTTGCCAGATCCTCTCACGGACCACAGGGTTATCGACATCCCCATCCTTGTAGAGGATGAAGAGGCCCCTAGAGAGGAAAAGAAGTGCGGGTCACCCTAGAATGACATTCAATCAGTCACAGCCGCCCCAAAGCCACCGCTGGCCACCGTCACGCTCATCCACCAGCCAGGCCACAGACCCGAGCACTGCACCGTCTGGGGCTTCTCCTTTTCTTTCATTTGTTTCTCTGAATTTAGTTTACTCTGTAGTTCAAATCATCATTGAGTAATTACTAGTTTAATGGATATTCTCCAGAGCAACTAGGCAGACACCCAGCATGTGTCTGTTAACAAGTGAAAACTAGTGAACAGTAAACACCTCTCACACACAATGGGCTCGAAGTGTGCACTGAAGAGTCAGAAGCTTTGGCCATGGAGAATTCCATAAGCCGTGGGAAACAAGCCTAGGTATCCTCTTATCTACATTTTAGTTGTAATCAAATTCCTTCTCTTCATACTGACGATACTCCCAGTTTTCCTTCCAAAGAATGCAATAACTTCCAGCACACAACGTTTCTCATAGAATTTCGTTTCTGGGAGGAGTGCAGTGTCTTTGTTTCACAGATGAGGAAGCAGAGGCTGAGAGAGGGAAGGGAAGGTGTCTTCACACTGCTGCTGTGCTGCTCAACTCCAGGAGGCGCCCTCCACCCCACAGCCTGCGTGAACGGAGGTGCACTGCCACAGCCACACTGCAGCCAGCGCTCTCTTACCGCACCTTCTGCTGAAAAGAAACCCCAACGAACGTAGCAGTGCAAGCAGCCGAAGTGCAGGTGGTGACATCGCCAAAGGATGGGAAACGGACTTCCCTAAAGTTTTAGAACTTTAGGCAGTGTCTGCCTTCACATTCTTCTGGACATCTTGGGATAAGAGGCACGAGTATTTCCCACCTTGTCTCCCCTCTGCCCACTCTTGTGAACAGAACTATGGTCAAAATGTGGGTCACAGGAGCCAGGGAAGAGAAGCAGTCTGGGAAACTTGTCAGAAGAGAGTAGCCAGCTTCTGAACAGCAGGGAGTGGAGATTCGAGCTGTGGTTTGGGCAAAAATTATCCATGTGGCTGTAAGGGGAGCTTTCTGGGGCATTTCATAATTGTTCTTGTAGGTTTTAGTGGGTCTTCCTCCAGTTAGCAGATTCTATAATTCTTTGGGGGTGATGAAAAGCTTTGCAGTGGTGGTGCTTACACTGCAGTGTGATTGTACAGAACGCCCCTGAACTGCACAGTTTAAAATAGTTAATTTTATGTTATGTGAATTTCACCTGAAATAAAACAAATACAAAAACCCTCCATCTCTCCAGCCATGAGCTGAGCACACAGGCCCCTTGCAAGACGGGACGGACACTTCTGAAATGCTAGCACGAGCAAATCCTCGAAGTTTTCCATTTGTCCTTCTAAATTCCAAACTCCTGCATCCAGGACACTCACCTGCATTCTTCTGGGTTACTTTTGGCTTCATCTGTGCAGCGATAAAACTTTCCCTGGGTACAAAACAGACAACAGTCACATGCAGGCTTCCCCTGGAGGGATGAATTGGGCTCCGTGCTGGAAGACGCCTCCCTGTACCTTAAACAACTGGACCCCGATGCAGGCAAACATGAACTGGAGAAGGGTGGTGACGATCATGATGTTGCCAATTGTCCGGATGGCCACGAAGACACACTGGACGACATGCTGTGGGGAGAGAGGAGCAGGAGGGGACAGAGGAGCGTGGCTCACCTTTGTTGTTTTAGCCACGGGATGAACTAATACCAGCCAAGGTTTTCTACATTTATGTGCATTTTTATATGCTTTTCCAACTTTGTGGTCCCCTGTGCCTTATTTTTCAGGTAGTTATCTATGGGGAGTTACCACCAGGGTACTGTGGCGACCTGAGAGGAGCACCCTGCCGGTGGGCCCCTCCTTGTTTCCTCCCAAAGCAGTTGGCTGAGTCAGAAGAAATGCCCTAGGGTGCAGCGTGGCCTGGCACACAGGCCCATGGGCCCCACACCCCATGAAAGGACTTAGGAAAATGAACATCCTCTGGCCTGTTGTACAACCTGGAGGAGAATAGATTTAAAGACTAAAAGAAACCCAAAGAAATACTATCAATAATGAAAAAAGTAATAAAATGAATAGTATTCACATAAAGAAAAGTATCTTAAATTAACAACAAAAAAGAAAAGAATACTGTTTAAAATGCTATCAGCACTTGGCAGAGGCAGCTGCATTGGTTAGAAATGTCCTTTTCAAACGTACAACCCACTTTAGAAACCATCAGGGCTCACCCCAGCTCTGGCCCAGAAAAGTCGGTAATTACAGCTAACCCCAAGGGAAGCGAGCCCAGCCTGGAGAGGAGGCCAAACCTTAAGTCCTTTCGCTCTGTTGATTGCCCTGAGTGGCCTTAGGACCCTTAGGACCCTCAGAATCTTCACAACGGAGATGGCACTGGATCTAAGGAAGAGAGCAAAGAAAGAAAGAAAGTAGAGTGTGTTACAGATAAAATGCTTTGAGATGACTTCACTCAGCCTTCACTTTGCGCCACTACACAACATGCTGGGACCCTGAGGAGCTGAGCGAATCTCACCCCACAACTCACACATGAAGGGCCTCCTCCTTCCAGTCCTCACCACACAGCCCCTCCTGAGTGAGGCCCACGGGCCCTGCGCCTTAGCACACAGCGAATGCAGCACAAACAGGACTTAGGATTTGCTTTGTTCTTTTTCACTTGATGTAAACAGTAGGTAGTATTTGGCTTTTAGGCTGCAGTTTTGTTTGGTTTTGCTTTGAGTGTGGAGACCTGCTGCAGTGCTCTGGTGCTGGGCTTCTCTGGCCTTCCAGGGCTCCACTGTTCAGCGGGAGAGACGGGCAATCACAACCCAGCATGGCACGTATCACAACGGAGGTGATGCAGCCTGCGGTGCTGGGGGAGCACAACCTTGGGGAGCCTGGGAAGGTCCCCTAGGGAGGTGATATCCAGGTGAGTCCCAGGTGGGTAGGGGTTAGGTAGACAAAAGGAGAAAGGGCTCCAGCCAAGGGAACAGCCCCTACAAAGACCCTAGACGAGAGAAGGCAGCTCATTTAGCATGGCAGGCAGCTGAGTGTGGCCACACCACACGCTCAGAAGGCAGTGGGCAAGGGCTGCAGCAGGGAGTCTATAGGAGTTGCAAAGACACTAGTGAGAAAGTCCTAAGCTGTGACGACATGCCTCTTTCCCCCGAACAGTGGTGGAAGGTAAGGAGGATCAACAGGGGGCCGTTTCAGGCAGGCATCCTCGGTCTTCTGAGGGGAATGAGGCTCCCCATTCACCTTTAGCTCAGAGGTCGTGTGAACTCATGTGCTCTCATATGGGGGTACTGATGGTCAGCACCTGAGCAGAGGTGCTTATATGTCAGCAGAAAAGCAAGGCCACCCCTGGATGCTCCCATTGGAGCCTCTACCCCTGACCCCTGAGTATGGTAGGCAGGCAATGTGCAACTCGGATTATTTTCCACCAGAAATCCCTAAATGCTATGGAAAGGCCCTAGGGCCCTGACTTGCAGCCTCGTCCCTGCCTGGCTGAAAGTTTTAGTGACCAAAAAAAAAAGGGTCATAGCAGCTGATATATCCTGGAGATCAAGGGAAGGCTTCAACATTCAAGCTGGTCCCAGCCCCTCCTGTACAGATGGGGAACTGAGATCCTAGGAGAGATGCCCTCAAGGCCCTAGGACCAGCTCCTGGAGGAACCCAAACCGGAAGCCAGCTTCCCTCCCCCTAGTCAAGACTTCTTCCCCCTCTTTTGAAAGCAATTATCATAGAGAGTAATAACCTAGCAGAAGGCATGCAAAGAAAAAGAGAAACACAAGAGCATGAGTTGTCCCAATGCTTTCTGGCATGGGCACAAATTAAGATTTCCCAGATAACTAAATGTAATCATTCACACATTGCCCAGCCTTTATGAACTATGTAAAAATTCCTCACGTAAACCATCCTGCTCCACAGTCCTGTGTACACATGCACACAGAATACTTACTGGATCCCAAATGACACCAGAGACACCCCAACAACCAGCATATCCAGCAAATTGAAGTAGTTCCTGCAGAAAGCCCCTTTGTGGAGGAAAGCTCCAAAGGTCGTCATCTATAAGCAGAATCATGAGTGATTTACTGTCTGTTCTCTCTAGAGGAAAAGAAACCTGGGCTCTTTACAAAACCTCGAGGAAATTATGACTTTATGAACAGTGTGCGTTAAGAAGCCAGAAATACAAACCAACAGGGCAGAGCAACCGAATCATTTGTTTAAAAATTGAAAAAGGGCAGCTGACTTCCGATACGTTGTAAAAGAAGAGACCAATCCAGACTTTATGACAGTGATGACAAATTTCAAATATGAATGCATCATTGGCATGTCCAAAGAGTCTGTCTGAGGAGAGAGTCCACATGACCACGCTCGTCAGGACGTAATTGCTGCCCAGACAACTCCGGCTTCCCCAAAGCACCGGCTTTGGCCCTTCTGAGACCCCAGGAGAGCCCCAGGTCCAACCCAGCCTTCCCCGTGGGGGCTAGAAAAAGCACTGGGGTCCAGTGCTCACAGGCTCCGCTGACATGGAAACTTGCCTCCTTTTGTCAGGTAGGCCCGTTACTGTTCCCGGCAGTCCTTAGCCATACTTTAGAGGGTTCCTCCAAGGCCAGTTGCTCTAGCTTGTGCAACGCATGGCAAGGAAGTGTCACATGCGTCTCACCACTCTCTAATCACATGCCATGTGTACCCGGAGCCCACAGTGTGGGTGCCCCAGGGAGGTTCCTACTAGTGATGGAAAAGGAATTTCATGAGGAAGTTCCCTAGAGTAAAAACAGCAAAACACATAGAATTCACTATTTAAAAAAAAAAAAAAGTGGGAGAAGGCTCAGATGACTACAGGAGAGGAGAAGCAGAGTTGGGAACTAATTACAATGGACTACATGAAATGGCCAACATTTATCTTTGTGACCTACAAAAATGGCAATTTCAAATGGTTTAACCAAATAACCAAAACAGTGTTCCAAATCTTCCCAAGGCCGCCAGGAACCACCATTTCTGATGTTAGATGCTTCTCAGTGAATATCTATTTTCTGAATCCTTCTTGTTTTAGCTTATTTTCCACCCTCTTAAAATACTTTTGAAATGAAGAATGACTCGGAAGATTTAAGTCACTGAGGTGAAAATACAGAAATTTAAAAGCGATAATTGTTTTTTTTGATATAAACCTGTATCTCATTTGCCCCAAAGCCCAAGAGTAACTACATTCATTTAACAATGTAAAAAGGTGGAAAGTAAAATAAAACCTCAATTAACCAGGCTAACAGACTAAGTAGAACTTTTCCCCACTCAGTTTGAGGAGAAGGCAAATTCAAAAAAAAAAAAAAAGCAGCTCAGGATCAAGCAGGGGCCGGGTGATGTCCCTGTACTCCAGCCCTGTGCCTTCTGCATCTCTGCCCCTTACCATGGAGACCGTGTTGGAACATGCTCACTGACCCAGGCACTGGTCTCCCTTAGGAAAGGACTGTCGGCCAAATTCACTGGCTTAAAGGCAGGAAAATAAACTCAAATTTTTAGGTTTTTAAAAAAGCTTTAAACAGAGGGTGGTTGGTTTTGTGCTAATATTTTCCTTAACCAAAAAGGAAAAGAAAATGTCTAAATAGCCCATTCTCTGGCAACATTAACTGAGGTTTCATTTTCTGAAAGATTTTGTGAAGAGCCCAAGTTCTACAGTAGACTAACACAAAATACATTTTTTTCCTGAGATGTGCACACAAAAAAACCCAAAATGGTTTAAAGAAAATTGTGGTCAGAAGTCCTCATTTCTCAGCTTGTCTCCCCACTAAGGGCTGATTGCTCTGACAGTTGTCATGGGCCACATTGTTCCAGAACAGCAAGGACCCACGCCATTTAGCAAGTCTGGGGGGTTCTTGGCTCTCTGCTGTGGGTCTCCAGACCTCTGAGTACAGAAGGAATGAGATCCCCGAGGGTGGCCTTCACCATCAGTACACAAACCACATGCAGCAATGGCAACTGTCAGCTCATGCATGGGCAGTACATTTAGGGCGCCCTGTCCAAAGGATGCTCTTTTGATTTGTTTAAATGTAAGCCCATCCATTAAAACAGACATAAAAATACCTTAACACAAATAGACCCAAGTTATCTTGCAAATCCTGTTGCAAGAAAATAGTGTGCTACTATTTTAGGACACTGAAAACAATTCAGTCAAAGAAATGAAAAGAGAGACATTCCCTTCACAGGAGAAATGCTTTTCCTCTGACTTTGACGTCAGGAAGGGTGGAAGAAAGTTCACACGTAGTGATGTACCCTGTTGTCAGTTGACATATTTCAGAGAATATAAAAAAAAAAAAAGAGCAAAATATAATTTCCAATCACTATTATGAAGCCAAAGTAGCTTCTACATGCATTCCAAGATTGAAAAGAAATAGCAAAAATAAGTTGAATTGTTATAGGAAAAAATTCTTTGGATGAAAAAATAAGTATAGCTTGATCACAAAAGACAAAAAATAAAAATAATTGAAAGCACGTCACGCCTCTTTGCTGTGTGTCACACGCAGGAGCAGCCCCTTAGACACACTGCTGTGGAACCTGTTACCTTCAAAACGATCTCAAATGCAAAAGTACCAGTGAAGACATAATCTGCGTAACCTAGCATCTGGAAGGTAAACAAAGAATTGCAACTATTATTGCTACAGCTGCTTTAGGATATGTGAGGATCAATGGAAAAGCCATTACCTTTAACAGGATTTCAACAGTAAAGATGGCTGTGAAAGCATAGTCAAAGTAACCCAGTATCTGCAAGGTACAACACACGGACATGAGAAAAAGCATCCGGACAAACAGCCACATGCCCTTGGGTGGAACCCCTACGTGCGCTCAGAGACCGTTCTCCTTGGGTAAGCCCGCCACTCTGGAGGTAAGTGCCGAGATGCTCATAAATGCCCCATTTGGTCCAATTACAGCTCATCTTTATGACCAAACGAAGAGCATCTGGGAATACTTACCTCCTTTAACCACTCAGGCTCTCTTCCCGGTCTCATGTCTTGGACAGACAGAGGCTCATTTCTAAAAGTGCTTTATTAATAACCTTTGCTCATCGGAGCACTACAGTGACAAATTACTTGTGGCACCAGATAAATTAGAGTCTTACACACATTCTAGATTTTTAACTGCATTTTTGGCTGAATGAAATATGTTGCTATCCAGCTGAGCTTCAGATTGGTGGAGAAATGTAAATAAAGATGGAAAGTGGCATCACATGGGGCCAGCAGCTTTCACGTGTCTCCTCCAATTCCAGTCCGTTTAGTCAGGGAGTAAACACCCTTCCCCCACCAATGTGCCGGCTGGATAAATGTGTAAGGAAGAGTTTCACTTATCCTCTTGCTCTGCATCAAACACTGCTCCCTCCCAAGGCGGGTTTTTACCTCGCTGGACCCACTCAAAGAATGACTGACTTGGCCTCTCAATTATCTCCCCAGGCTACTTTATCACATTCCTGAAAATACCTTCTACTCTCCAACCAACCAAGTCCTGCCAACCCCTTCTGGGGGCCCTGAGTCTACTGGGAGCCACAGGGATAGGAGGGCGGGGCATGTGGGCCAGCAGCAGGAAGTCTGACCACTCAACTAAGGCTGCTTGCAGGGAACCCTCAGCCACAAAGATGGCAGCCGAGACTCTGCCAGCAGAAGAGGCTGTCTTGGCTGTTTATCTTCACGACAACTATGCACTATGGTTTGAAAGAACTGAAGAGATCACAGCTGGAGAGGACCATGGAGATCACCCAGGCCAACTCCTTCCCCTTAACAGATGCGGACGCTGGGAAGCGGGGCAGCTGCTCAGGCCACGCAGCCAGTCACAGGTGTTGTTAAGCAAGGAGCAAAGCCCGTGGAATGCTAGTCAAGACCCACAGGCCCTGCTGTTTAAGTGTGGGATCCACCTCAGGGGTCCTTTGCTGTTACAATAAGGTGAGGACCTCTGCTTCACAGGCCAGCTCCCCTCAGCTGAGGTTCTCTCTTCAGAGGGTGTTCATCGTCCAAACTGTTTCTGCTTCTGGATTTATACATTTTGCTTGAACACTTCTGTGTATCTGTGTTTCTGACTAGAAACAATGAGAGGTATTTCCAGTACACTAGACCCCTGCCCCCTCCCCTTTATTCCCTCCTGGGTCCCAGCAGGACTGTTAATGCTGAAAAGCCCCCGGGCCACCAAGAAAGACAGTGCTGCCCACGAGCCAACCCCCACCTAGTTTCTGGGGTCAAAGCTCTTAGATCTAAGTTGTTCTTTCCTCACTCAGCCTCCATTCTCTTTTTCACTAGTAACTCAGCTAAGGTTTTAAAAAAACTCCAAAACTGCGTGATTCCAGTTATATGAGGTATCTAAAGCAGTCAAATTCACAGAAAGCAGAATGGTCATTGTAAGGCCTGGTGGAGAAGGAAATGGGGAGGGGAGCTGCTGTTCAATGGGTGTAAGATTTCAGTCATGCAAGGTGAATAAATTCTGGAGATCCACTGTAGAATATAGTGCCTATCATTAAGAATGCTGTCTTGTACACTTAAACATTTGTTAAGAGGGCAGATCTCACGTTAAATGTTCTTATCACAATAAAAAAAACAGTATTTTAAAAGCAAGACACATATACATATGTACATCTATAAAAAAGAATAACAACATTCTTAGGAAAAGCAGCAAGGAGCATGAGAGCATAAACTCATGGGGAAGTAATTACAATAAAAAATAAGAACATGAAGGCCCGTGTAACTTAACTTCTGTCAGTCTGCGTTCTAGACTAGCTCCTGACCTAGTCTGTCACGTGATATTTTTTCCTAACAGCTTTTTCTCTTGAGTCTCTTTATTATGAAGGAATTCAATGACAGGAAGGTCTTTGTTCCATTTGAATGTCTAGATAGAGACAGCCTTGGAATCTCAAACAAAAGTACAGATTAAGACAGGCCCAGCGCCTTCATCTTTACATCAACACCAACATGTGCCTTGGGGGAACGTTCTTTTTATCTTCATGCCAGAGTGCAGTTTTATCAATCCCATGTTCTGTGTTTGCCAGGCTTCAAACCGAGAGCACTGGAGATGCAAAGACACAGCACGAGGCTTGGTTGTCATGAGAGAAATCCTAGGGCACTGATCTGGTGATTTGTGTTTGTCCTCAAATCTCTAAAAATCTCACGTACAGAAGGAAGTACCAACCAGGCAAGGCAGTGACGCTGACGGCTCCACACCTTGAGGGCCTCCCTCTCCCGGGAGGGTTTCTGGGGAACCGTCTGAAACTGCACTACAACACCAAAGCCGGAGAGTCCACAGGTTACCCATCTCCTGAAGCTGGCCTCTGGACTGTTCTGAGAGCTGAACTGCTAAGATGGGACTGTGTAGGCAAGGAATAATTTAGGGACCAGTTTCTGTCCCACGGAGATGCGGCGGAAGGGTGCTATCCCTAAATTACGAAACTGATCAGTAATACAAAACTTAACTCTCTGCTTGTTTTCTTTGTAAAAGCTCCTCCTGCTCCACCAAAACACAGTTCTTCCTCTCCACCGACCCACTCAATTCCACACCCCATCATCTCCCTAACTTGTATTTCTCCTCAGCAGTGGAGCCGAGTAGCTGCCTGAATGCAAGTCCACATGAGCTATGCCCTCCCTGCCAACTCTAAACAAGAGCTCCTGGGCATGTGACACACCTGGTTTCAATTTTACTTTCTCTCCTGCTGGATGATTCCACTAGGCAAAAATCTCAAAATAGGTGTGGATGTGAATTTGACCGGGGAGGGGAAAAGAGACCAAAATGTTGGCAACAAGGAATGAAGAGGAAGAGAAGCAGGTCCCTGAATACACTATAAGTTCCTGCAGAGTTCTTAAAATGAAGTTTAAAATACATGATTCAATCAAGGTTCGTCCCGATGAAACAGAACCTCTCTGGCACTTATAAACCTGACACGTAAAACACTTGCCAGAGAGCGAGAGGCCCACTCTAGCTTCCAGCCTCGCAGGCTCCACAGGCCCTGCCCTGCCTGCCTCTGCCTGCAAGGCCAGTGCTGATCCCAGAGGGAGCCCACCCGCCCATCCTCGCCCAGCAACTTACAGTGTTCCGGAAAGAGTGGCTGCGGATGGGGTCCTCGGCGGCGAGGGCAGCACTGCTCAGCATGATGAAGACAAGGATGAGGTTGGTGAAGATGTGGTGGTTGATGAGCTTGTGACAGCCCACGCGGATCCTGTAGGGAAAGCCACCGCATGGACACAGCCCCAGACTGGGCCCAGGCAGACAGGCCAGCGCCTTCAGCATCAGGGCCCCGTCTGGGTGACAGGTCAGGCAGAGGACAGCTGCCCACTGTGCCGCCCATGCCCCCCACCCAGCAAACCAGAACCACCTGACCTCGAAACCCCAGGATGGCAGACCCCGAGGACCCATGGTGCCCTGGCTCTGTGTGGGTGCTCCACAGAGATCACTCGCTGAGTCCTTAAAGTGGGGATCATCACCCTTCCAAAGGCGCAGAAACAGAGGCTTCAGCACGTGAAAGAACTTTCTTAAGGGGACACAGCTGGTAAGGACCAGGGGCAGATTCCCCATCCAAGTCTGGCTGTGACGTTTTCCCACTGTAACATGAAGACCAGCCAGTTACCTTCCCTGCCTCAGAAAGGAGACTAGGTCAGAGCTCATGGCAACAGCTTGCTAAGAACGAGAGCAAGCCCGTCTGGTCCGGCAGTTGGGCTACATGAAAATATAACTGCAGTAGCGGGGCTTGGTGAGGTCTCCTGTTATGTGGAGATTTTGTCATAAGTACTATTTTTTTTATTTTGCGGGGGAGGAGTTGACCCATGACAAGCACTCCTGTGAAAGTGAAGTGAAAGCCATGTCACCGTGCAGGAATCTCACAGGATCTTCCTGCACCATGTGACAGAGCCACCAGAGTCCGTGAAGCAAGGCAGGTGGCGCGTGCCCAGCCCTCCCGGCCCGGCTCTCACGACAGCCCCATGGCCGTCAGAGCCTCTCCTCTGCCCCTGCCATCAGTGGGCTAGTTACCACCTGACTACCCTCAGCCTCAATATTTAACTTCAGAATTTCAAGATCTTTTTTGTTTCTTGGCCTATAGACTACATGGAGGTTTTCCTTTGAAAAGATTGTTCACTTTTCAAACTGGAGTCAACTTTATATGAAGGTGACCCCTTGCTTCAAACCCCCCTTGTGAGGCTGCTTAATGCTGGGATGTGGCCCTGGGGGGCTTGCCAGCTGTCAGCAGCTGGGGAAGGCCTCCCAGGGCTGTGCAGGCAGGAGTGCTCATGGCTTTGGGGGAAATCAATCCATCCCTTCAATATGTAAGATACAGTGAGCTGTAGGTATTGGTAACGTTGGTTGAATAACTTTTTTTTTTTAAGAGACACCCAAACTCTCAACAGTGATGATCTTCAAGTCCCTAAGGACTGCAGCAGGCCCTGCTTCACACCTGCGTCTCCCCGGGGCCTGCAGATTATAGAGTTCTTCTCCGACAGCCAAGAACTACTTCTGCAATTCTAGAAACCTTTCCAGGAGCCATTTATTCCCCCTGGCATTTCACTCAGTCCCAGATGATTTAAAACCTAGAAACCAGCTAGTAAATAAACGTCTTCCTCTTGCAGTACTTGTGAGTAATTACCACGTTCCTAGTGAGCACCTTATCATTTTAACACTAGAAACGCTATTTTAAGCAGAATATCATTAAGCGGGATTGAATAGCTACAACCCATAAAATACCATTGAGCAATATTACTTTATAGTTATAAAACTCAACAGCGAGAAATGATCAACTAAACTGGATCTCTGGATGAAGATGTGTGCAGAAAGTGGTCAAAAAATTGTCATCCCCCAAAGCATCTTAACAGAAGACCCATGCATGAAAAAAGGGTCCTTCAGATGGAAAACACTTCACAGCTAACGGCCCACGGAACACCAGAGCCGTGGGCTCTGACTGAGCTGCAGGTATTCCACACTGCCGGCCCCAGGGCAGTGGTAAAGAGGGAGAAGAATCTGGAAGGGTGCTCCTCTCAGGTCCTGGTGACCCCCCTATATCCCCTCCAGGAACGGGAAGGCCAAGAAGAGATGGACAGAGGGCAAAGGCAAGGCTGGAGCAGGAGAGGATCGGAGGGATCTCAGGGGGCTCTGACACTCAGGTGCAGAAAAGGGCATGACCCACCTTCCTTCACCTCATCCCCAGCCACCCTCAGCAACCCATAGGGCCCCAGGTGAGACGGGGCAGTGATGTGACTAGAAAGGGGGTATTTACGGGTTGGTCTTGCTAAGAATGAAGAAAGCGCTCCCTTCAGGAATGGGGGCGATTTTCTCCTTCATGTTCAACTCCGAGATTCTGCGAGGACGGGGGCCAGCAGGAACCTCAGGTTCATCCTCCTCCTCCTCCTCTTCCTCTTCACCTACTTTAAATGAGACACTTTTTTTATAGGCATGAAATAAACAAAGATTACATTTGGGTTTGAATGATTATTCTCAATTTCACATGAAAATTTGGCTTAAACTTTAACAAAATCTATCAGCTTACATTAATCCCTTTGGAATATGGACTGAATGTGTGCAGAGGGCTGAGAAGTGTACCCATCATGAGTGTGTGCAGCTGTGGCAATGAGGTACCCAGCAGTTAAAGACGTGAGCACAGGTAAGGTGGCTGCAGTGGGGTCCTCACTGCCATCGCCTCAGCATCTGGCTGTTTCCCCAGTAACCTCTTGCTCAGCTTTGGCCTGACAACACTGTGTGGGACTTCAAGTCCCACATCACCAGCCCCCAGGCCCCCTCTCCATAGTCCCTCCTACACTAGCCAATCAAGGCACCAGTCAAACGTGGAAGTGTCAGGTGAGCAGTAATAACTGGTCACCTCCTAGAGAGATTTCCCAGCAAAAGTTGGGTTTGCCAGGATTCACCTACACTTTTTCTCCTCACCACTTGGAATCTGGCTCATGTAAGCTTCCTGTGACCAAAAGAAAAAGAACTAACTGTCCCACGAAGAGACTAGACCCATGGCCTCAGCAGCCCAGCGGGTGCCCCAGCTGGGTTAGCCAGCGACAGACACAGCCACTGAGCACAGAGGGATGGCAAAGCCATATCCCTCATGAGCTGAGAGCCTGTGTCTGGCCTGCACCACCATACCTGGCACATCACAAGGCGGGTAGGGGTCCTTGTCCTCATCTTCTTCTCGGTAGTCATCGATTGTAACCTAGGATGACAGAGAGGTCTTGGGAGGAGGGGAGACTCTGACTTAAATGTACATCAGAGGGCCCAAGTGAAGACTCAACCTTGCCATTGCGCACAGGGTGAAGTGTGCACTGTATGCAAGTGAGCGTGTAGAGACAGCGGACGCCCCCAGATGATGATTCTGCTTAGGACAGAAGGTCTGAGGGCAGATGAGGAGAAAACAGGTATAACCCCTACCCAGGCACAGTCAGCCAGCACCATCCACACCTCTTCCTATCCTAGCGTTGTCACACATGCCACATGTACGACATGTATGGTAACCACATTGTGGATTCCTGTCTGTCTACTAGACTGGGAGCCCCATGCAGGCAGGGACCTCGTCAGTCTTGTTCATTCATGACCCCCAGTCTCTGAGACACAGTAACCATTCAAAACGTATTTACGGACTCAATGAACAAACAAATGAAAAATCCAGAGCTGTCATAAGTGGGATGAAGTTTGACAGTATAGCCCTAAGCACCCAGACCCCCTGATCCTGAGATCTCCTCTGGGGGTAGACATCTATTAATAATCCGTGATTTTAACCCCCCACTGAGAAGATACGAACGTAGGTCAGGTCTGACCACACAATTCCAATAAAGAAAAAATAAATGGTCAGACCAGCCAAATATATACTGGTTGAAATACTGGTTAACAACCAGGTGAGTGCCTAAACTCACTCAGAATCCCCCTGGAAAGCCAGCGTCTATAATGGTGGCTTCACACTCTCACACCACAGTATCATACAAGACACTTTCACTGCGTAAACGGTACATCTATGGTGCTATCAACAGACTCATTTTGAAACAAAAAGGGGAGAAGGGCTTCAGAACACACACTTTGTTGTCACTGTTGGCTATCTGGTTGACTTCCGGTTTGTTGGTCTTTTTATTTTCCAGGCTCTCTTTTCTGCAGAGAAAAGAACACAAGAAACCAAGTAACCATATTGCTACGTATAAAAATACTAATCAGGATTCTGAATCAACAGTGGCCCAATGAAGGACGGAATTTAATTGGAAACAATGCTAACAGCAAGAACATAGCACAACCCACACTCAGAGCTTCCTGCTCATCTCAGTGCACTGGATTCATTACACAGATCATCTTATTAAAATTCTCATCCAAGAGCTAATCAGCACTGAAAGCATCATTTATTTTATGATGCCAAAAATTAACCGCAGCCATTCTTTAAGCATGGGGACGTGCGACTCCTACTCTCAGCTCCAAGAGAATGACAGCTGAGGGCCTGGCTTCTGCCCAAGACTCTACCTTTGTTGGTTAGCCCCATGTGGTCACCCACAATCACCACAAAGCAGCACCATGCGAGCTACAGCTGCCGTGGAGTCCAGGTGGCCCCCCAAGGCCTCACCTTCAGCTGGCTCCCCAGGCAGACCCCTGAGCAAACAGCTCAAGCAAAAATGGGGTTACCTGGCAATCTTTTTCCTCTCCTTCTCTTCGGCTTCCTCTTTCTGAGCAGTATTCAAACTTTCAGCATCAGCCAAATTGTCTACAGCGATGGCCAAGAAGACATTCAGTAGAATATCTAATTTGAACATTTTAAGGGTATAACACATTTCTAAATGAAACTACATCTGGTCAACAAGGGCAACATCACCCCCCTCTGTGTTCTAGGAGGCTGGTAACAGGGGACTGTCCCCTAGTGCTGTGTTCTCTCGGTAAAGCCAGAGGACCAGACCCTTGTGTTTTTCTTTAAAAAAAAAAAACTAGAAACGTGTAGAAGATAGTCTGGAAAAAAGCAAAATTAGATTCACTAAAACTTGTGAAAACCTACAAACTTGACCATTTCCTTTCGTGTCAGCGCATATGTGCATGTTTGCACAAGCATGTGTGCATATCTCTATACATCTAGGTATCTACAGCTGATACACATTGTGTGAAACAACCAATAACATAAACGGCGCTTTCATGCATTTTGCATTACACTTCATGCATTTGGTTTCTTTTAAAAGACACAAGCCCATAACATCTATCTGGGTCATGCTTTCCAAAACAGACACCTTTAAGGCTACACACCATTCAAGTGGTGATCCCATTGCAGGAGACAGTCCGAGCCTTTCTTATCTGAAACGGCCCTCAGTCTGCAGATACCTCACTCATTCATTCACTCCACAAACACTGACTGACTACAGCATGCCTGACTTATTGCCAGACATGCCAGCCTACTCATTTGAGTAGCCCCACTGTGGCTAGATCTTTGGCTACTGTGGTTGAATTATTATTTTTTCAAACAGTAAAAAGTTAGGTGATTAAACAAGTTAGCGGGTTTTCGATTCTTACTATAATGCTGTATGTGCGGTTTCCTGGAATGACTGAAAAAAAAAAATTCTGAACAATCTTCCCAAATCAAAAGATGCCTGTTTCTTATTTACTAGAAGTTAAGTACATTTTTGACAAGCACAGGGTCAAAGGGCAGTAAGTCAAGATGGCTCTCCTCTAACTGAAGCTTCTCTCTGGCTGACATACGGCCATATGCATGCAAGACTGCAGGAGCCCAGGGACCCTGAGACAGGAGAGGCGAACCACTGTGCCACACGCCCAGTGCAATGTGAAATCTCAGGACGGCTGCCGAACATGTAAACAGGCTTAACCTAACAAGGCCCGATGAGGGGAGCACTTACAGGGGACCTCAGGCTTGACTAATCTATTCAAGTCTTTAAAGAGGATGGAAACATGAGCGAATTGTATTAGGCCTTTCAAAACGCCTTTGATATGCAAGACTACTCCTTAAACAGAGCTGCAACAAGCCTGGGGAAGCAGTTTGTCCTGAGCCGGGCGAGGGCTCCATAACACAGCACTCCTCTGACCACCGTGGGGTAATCGTGGCTCAGAAAGGGACTAACCATACAGAGAATTCCTACTAACGATCTCAACGAAGAAACAACACATCTCTAGTCTCGCAATGACACTAAACCCTTTGAGGTAGTGGAAAGCAAATCCAGAGCAATAAACCATAGGAAAATCTTACAAGTTATAAACCTCTAAGTACCCATCATCTCTCTTTAGAGGCATTCATTACCCAGACCCTCCTGAACAGAGGTGGGCTAAGGAACTCATTAGGAAAGATCTACCAAACACCTCTGATGTGCCAGGCACTGTTCCAGGTGCTGGAGGTATGGGAGCAAACAGCAGACTGGAGTCCAGCTCCCAGGCAGCGTCTATTCTAGTCGAGGGAGACAGAACATAAACTATTTAAGCATTTCAGATAGTGATACATGTGCTGCAAAGAAAACACGACGTGTAACCAGATAGAGCGGCCCAGGAATACTTCTCTGCAGACTTAAGGCCGGTATATTGCTGTGGCCTAAAGAGTTAATCACAGGGAGAGCAGAAAAAGAAAACAGGAATCATTCAGTTAGCAAACATTTCCCAAGGGCTAACTGTGCAAGAGTCTGTAGTATAAGCCATGAGAGACGTGAATAAAAAAAAGAAAAGATTCCTGACTCAAGAAGCTTATCGTCTAGCTGGGGAGGTGGAGAAGCACCCACCCCAAGCTCCAGTAGATGCAGAAACCACACGCGCTAAGAGACCCAAGCATAGAATCTGGCAGGGGACTCCCCTCTGCAGGAGACAGGAGCAGGGGGCTCCCTGCGGGAGGGACTCAGAGGGTTTCTAGGTGTCGAGATAGGGGTTTCCATACAAAACCTTGAAGCACAAAGCACTGCCCTTAGAGGTTTCCCCTGGGGTTTCCACACTGAAGAAAACTCACTAACAAGCCAGAGAAGATTAAAGGAAAAAAAGCTAAGGGGATCTGGGACTTCTTAGAAGAAGCATTCAGAGTAGGATGCTTTAAAATAAAAAAGTGAAGACCAAGAGTGGTATTCACACGTTCATACTCTGTTCTTGTACCTAAGATTTACTGAGGCCTCCATATGCCAGGTCTTGGGCTAGGCAGGGAGGACACACAGGGAAAGCAGACACAACCAAAGGTCACAGGGTTGTGAAGGGTCTGTAGAGGTAAAGAGAGATCTGAATTTTCAGAAGTCTAGGATTAGAAAGTACCTCTTGGCAAGGAAAAGGAATGAAAGGAGTCGGAGAAAAGATACGCAGCCTGATGAAGCAGCTGGCCAGTGGACACTCGATCCCCAAAGACACACAGATCAGCAAAGCAAAACTAGGTTCAGGGCAGCTTAGGTCAACCCACTGAAGGGTGTGCCCATCGGTTATGAAGGGTCTTAAGAAGACACAGATGCATCCCTAAACTCTCAAGGATGATGGCACAGAGGACAACCTGGCTTTGCCCTAAGCCATCCCTTGGGACCTGTGCGGAAGCTGTGACACTGAGCTGGGTGACCACTGGTACAGCCCACATGGAGTCTCGTGCTCCTTCCCCGGCTTGCTCTCATTCCTCAAAGCCTAGCTGGGACTCTCCCCTACTCTGCCTTTCCCAGAAACGGTGAAGGCGAGCATTTTAACAAGGTAAGGGCACTCACTTCCCACCACAACTGCTATCACCACCACCACCACACCACCACGACCATGGGGCGACTCAGAGAGGGAGAAACAAAATAAGACACTGACACAACAGAGCCCCGGTCAGCTTGAAGGATACAGTTACCGCAAATGAAGAGGATGATGAAGTAGATGCAGACGATCATTCCCGAAGATGACGGGCCCCCATACGCCATGATGCCATCGTACATTACAGCATTCCAGTCTTCACCCGTCAGAATCTAGAAGCCAAAACTGGGATCAGCTGGTAGGTGGACTCACAACTCCCAGGTGTTCTCTCAGAGCTCCTAAATCCCGTTGAAGCTGGCTTCCACAGTTCAGTTTGCACTGAACAAACCCATCTGTTATCCCATTGAGTTTTCAAAACACGATTTTTAATTACACCAATACATGAGTTAATTCTTCCGGTGAAAGTAAAGTAACATCAGATATAAGACTTATGTACTCTTTGATGACCCTCCAGCCTGGTTTTAGTCCCCTCCCAGAAAGCATGCTGCTGGCGTCTCTCTCTCCAGGACCTTTGTGCATTTAACGTGTATATACACACCCAGAGAAAACAGGCAGCTGGTGTCTTCTTGGATTTATTAGACATACAGGGTATTATACTGTATGAATTTTCTGCAATGTGTCTCCCCCCCGACCACTCAACAACATACTCTGGAGACCCTCTCTGCCAGCAGGTTCACCTCATTCTTTTTAACCGCTGACTGGTAGTCCACATAGATAATCAATTGTGCAAACAGAGAATTCTATCTATGAATTGTTAGAAGCAGGGAATTCTGAATATCTCATGTAAATTTACAAACTACCTTATGAGTAGATACTCCTAACCATCTCAAGTTTCAAATTTAATCTTCTCTACTGATGATACTTGACAATTCAATCCATCGTGATATAGAATCAGATGAACTTGAATAGCAATTCAAAAATATACTATCTTTCACAGAGACAGAGAGAGCAACAGAGCAAGAGAGAGCACATGCCTCTTTATCTTTTATCTGGACAAGATATTTTAAAAATTAAAACCATCGTGGCTCACAACCAAACAGAAAAATGGGTAAATGATTTGAAAAGATAAAACAATTCACAGAAAAGGAACTATAAATGGCTGTTAGGTCACATAAAAAGATGTTTAGGTTCACCCTTGATAAGAGACATATGAATTAAAACTCCAATAAGATACCATTTTCACCTATCAGACAGGCAACAATCTGGAAGTGTGAACACCCACTGTGGTGAAGAGCAGTGAGGCCACGGGCAGGCTCCCCACTCCCCTACTCCCCGTGAAGGAGGAATTACTCCTCCTGTAGGGAGCATACTTGGACAAGAGTATCAGAGTTGAAAATGGACATACACCCTTTAAACCAGCAATTCCACTTCTGTGAATTTATCCCACAGATCTACTCTCACACATGTGCCCCAGGGTGTATGTTCAAGGTGACCCACTGAGCCAAGACTGGATATGATGTAAGAGTTATCAGCAGGGGACTGGTTATGTGAATTATGGCCCATCCACACCACAGAATTTATGCAGCACTGAAAAGGAGGCAGCAACCTTTTATGGACCAATAAGGAAGGTTCTTAGGACATTTTAAATGATAAAAAGCAAGATGGGGACTGGCCCAGTGGCATAGTGACTAAGTCCATGTGCTCCACTTTGGTGGCTCGAGGCTCCTAGGTTCGGATCCTGGACACAGACCTACACGCTGCTCATCCAGCCATAAAAGAGAGGAAGACTGGCAAAGATGTTAGCTCAGGGACAATCTTCCTCAAGCAAAAAGAGGATTGGCAACAGATGTTACCTTAGGGCCAATCTTCCTCACCAAAAATGTATTAAAAATAAAAAAAGCAAGACAGGAAAAGAGCATGCGGGGTGAGCCACCACCTGTGTAAACTCATCTATGGGTAGGTAGGTTAATTGCTTTATATCTATGAGCAAATATACCTTGAGGAATATATAAGAACCTGTTTAGTGGTGGTTGCCTCCTAGAAAAGGAAATTGGTGGCTAGGTGGGAGGGAGACTTGTAACTTTATATCCTTCTGTAACATTTGAATTTTGTGCCATAAACATGTATTACAAAAAACACCTCCACACAAGTTCCTCTGAAAGAAATCAGCATCAAGAATGACTAACCAGTGGCCAAAATTAAGTATAATTCAAAAAATGAAAGCTATGGCTTTATAGCAGTGGCAGTAATTTCATTCATCTCAAAATGACCAAGTGGGAAAGAATCTTCGAGATCACTTCCTCTAGTCTCTCGTTTTTTTTTTTCAGAAAAGCAGAGCGACTTTCCAAGCACAGAGCTGAGCACTGAAAGAGTCACCATGGGACCTCGATGTCCACTGTCCTCCCACCAGGCCTCTCCAGCAGGACTCCAAAGCTCACTGACATTGACTGTGAAAAGTGACAAGGGCAAGATGAGTCTTTTAAATTTATCTGCCAGGTTCTGTCCAAGGAAGGGCTTCAGCTCACCACATGTGAAGAGGGGGTTTAGAATGCCTCAGCTCAGAGCCAGGTGGGGTGGAGAGGCTGCTCCGAGTGCACAGCCACCTGCACACTCTGACACTGTCACTCCCTTCTCAGCCCCAACAGCACAGACACCCTCAGAGGCTGTGTGTCCTCATTACATCACCCGAGGGAGGACAAGAAAGGGGCAGAAGCCTGTCACAACTCTTTTATCACCCTGATTCCTCTGACTGCACAGCAAAGCATTAGGGCTTTAGAATCCACTTCTTGGCATAAATCCGTTATAACCAGGATTACAAAACTTGCCTGCAATCCAAAATTAGCAAAGAACAGAAAGAGGATTGTAGAGCCTATCTCACAAAAACCTCAGAAACCGCGTGAAATCAAACAGAAGTTTTGGGTTTATTAGTTTGTAATATCCAGTGGTCTTACAAAAACATTCAATCATGTCATACAGACAGCTGGAGTAAGATGCAAAATGAATGACTTAAACGGCATACAATTTATCAGAGCATCATTAGGACAGAGGTTTCCAATAAGAAGGGAATTGTTTTGTCTTACTGAGCTGTGAAGAGACAACGAGGCATCTCAGAACGTGCTTCTCGGGGAGAGCAAGATGGGAGGACTCACCTGGAACACTGTGAGAAGTGCTTGGGGGAAATTGTCAAAGGTGCTTCGCTTGGTTTGTGTTTCGTCAAAATTAAACTTGCCGCCAAACAGCTGCATCCCAAGCAAGGAAAAGATGATGATGAAGAGAAACAGCAAGAGCAACAGTGAAGCGATGGACTTCATGGAGTTCAACAAGGATGCCACCAAGTTGCTCAGGGAAGTCCAGTGCCTACAAGTCAAAATGACGGTGTGAGCCCGGAAAACCCGTGCGGACAGAGCCGAACATCACCTGACTAGGGATGCGGCTGATCGCCACCCCATATCCAGAAAACACCTGCGGCAAGATATACATGTCCTCACCTGGTCACTTTGAAAATTCGTAAGAGGCGCACACACCGAAACACAGAGATGCCCAGGGGAGACATGATTTCCAGCTCCACCAAGATCGTTTCGGTAATTCCACCACACACCACGAAGCAGTCAAATCGATTAAAGAGAGAGACGAAATATGCCTGAAGACCCAAGCTGTACATTTTTACCAGCATCTCACAGGTGAACAGAGCCAAGAGGACTTTGTTAGCGATATCTGGAAGGACAAAGGGACGCACGTCGGGATCTCAGCCCAGGGTGGCTCAGACCCCTCTTCTCCCACGCACCTTCTCCCACCAGTCCCCGCAGGAAATGCCCCCAGCACGTCTGCCCCCTCTTTGCTACAGTACACGTTACAGAAGCGTGGCACTAACATTACGGTCTGTCTGCCTGCCAGGTTCTGGTCCTGCTTCTGCTACGACCTAGATGTGAGCCTCTGGAGAAGTTCCTTGATTTCTGTGGGCCTCAGTTTCACTGACTATAAAATGGGGAGGGGCAGTTTATCACATAATCTCTGACATTTTTCCAGCCCTAAAAGCCTACGATTCTGCATTTAGATCATCCATCCTATTATATTTTTTGCTTCAGTCACACACAAAAGACCCATCTGGTCTTGCTTACAGCATGATATACGAAGCGGGTGCCTGCCAATGTCATTTCTAACAGCAGCAAATACCACCCAGCAGGCTGGAGAGTTGGACAGAAACAGCTCTGACTTGATGTAAGGCAGGCCTTCTCAGTAGCTCAAAACCCAGAATGGGCTGTCTCTGGGGACATGAACGATACAGGAACAACCACCACTTGCCAAGAATACCATACGGAAAAATAAAGCTTCCAGTGGGAGCAGCAAGAGGGATACAAGGTCCCTTCCAACTGCAAGATTCCTTGATCCTAAGTTGTCACAGGTTAGGACAATGAGATGCTCTGGCCTTAAGAAGCTCCAAGGTGCTTCATTCACCACACGGTGCAGACCGCACTCCCACTCCAGGTGCATCTTATGTTTAGATGGTCCTACCATCTTCCAAGATAGTGCTCCCTAGAAATGTTCTGATACTTTATTATACATCCACCAGAGAAACCAAACTGCAGCTGGACAGCCTCAGGAATCCCTAATTCAGAACAAAAAGAGAGCTTATACCTTGAATCTGTGTCAACCAGTCAGGCTGGTTGTAGTGCTCGGAGGAAATGGTTAAGGTGTTGAGAAACACCAGGACAATAACCAGCCAGTAAAACGTGACAGACTTCACGGCAGCCCTACACCTTCTGCGATTGAAACGGTTCCAGCGACGCCAGCGACGGCTGAAAGAGAAGCAAATGTTAGTCCCTGAATGGCAGACACAGCATCTGAGCGTCCAGCAAATGTGATTGAGAAGTAATTTAGCTTTCACTACAGAGGTCTGGATTGGGGTGGGGGAGTAGGAACGAAAGATGACAACAAATGGCATAGAAAGTAACAGACCTCATAAGATAAATTATGCTGGTCTTAAAATGCAACTTTTAAAAGTATATTCTTGACTTGATCATGCTATCCGTTTCCTTCCCATGGCTTTTGATGACTCCAGAATCTGTCATACACAGTCTTCAAACCGGTTGGAAAATCTAGATAGTCACAGATTCGTGTGCAGATGCAAAACTGCCCTCGCACATCTATGCGGTTCACATTCCCACCATATGGTGCACAGATCTGTTCGTGCTATCGGTGCAGAGAGCCACTTAGCTTATTACACACATCTCTCGCGGCATCTCTATCATCATACGGAATTTATCAGGCAGCAAACTGCTCCAAAACCACAGCTTTCCTTTTAGGGAAACTTCCAGTCCCTTCTTAAACGCAGGAGGTTCCTTTGGAGCCTGGCAGAGTTGTCAAAGCTGAGCAGGACATGAGTCTTCATACTGAGTCATCAGGTGCCCTTTCTAACTAGTTGATGCTCAAAATGTACCTTTAGGAGGGGAGCCAATATTGAATTGTGTTTTCATACAAACAAAATGAGCTGAGCCCAACAGACAAGTAGGATGCCCCCATCTACTTTCAGATCCTGTCTGTAATTAGGCAACGTATCCTTTCCCTTAGCCTGTCTCCCTGTGGAAAACGATCCCTGCCACAGGGTGGTGTGGTATAAGTGGGTCCTAGGGAAGGGCCAGCCGAGCACTGATGTCAGCCTGTCCAGAACGCGCTCGTGGACGGGGTGGAAGGCACCTCCTTTAGGGACCTGAGTCAGAGGACTCTCCGGGCTGTGTCCAAGCTGCACCCTGGCTGACTAAGCCGTGCTACACTAAAAAAAACCATAACCCAGACATTGGGCAAAGAACTCTTCAGCAAGGCCTGGAACAAGCAAGGCACTTTTTGCTCTTGCTTTTGCTATGTGGTTTCTAATGGTAATAGCAGCTGGAAATATGATGACTAGCAAAGAAAAATTCTACAGAGGACACTAAAGACCGTCCCCCTCCAGGCTGGGTTTCCCCTGTGATGCATAATTCAGTACACACAAGCGAGGTGATCTAAGATCCATCCTGAGTGGTCTATTTATGCTACAGTGACAAGTCACAGGTGTCTCCTAATCCAGGAGACCTATCGTCACATCCCCTGAAACCTTACAGCTCCCCTATCTTACCCCTCACTGGTCACTGAGCGTCCAGGCCCTGTATCAGGCACTGGGCATATGGAGATGAAGAAGGCATGGTCCCATGGCCCCTGTCCTTGAAAAGCATGCAGGGTTGTGGCAAATTATGAATCCACACCAAGTGCCATTCCCAGGGTACCGGGTATAGAAACAAAGAGAAGGGAACTGCAAATGTTCTTCTGGAAGAGTCAGGAGAGGCTCCTCCAAAAAGCTGAGATTTGGACTGGCTCTCTATAGCTGAGGAAGAGTCAGCCAGGGGTCAGAGGAAGGGCACTCCACCCAGGGGAGCCTGCATGGCAAAAGGGACTGAGATGGGAAGAAACAGAGCATGTGGGAGGTTTGAAAGCTGAGCGCAATCCAGGACAGCTACAAAGTGGGGAGTATGGGAGGGCTGTCAAAAGATGAGGCCAGAGGTCAATTGGGGGCCAAGTCACGAAGGAAACTGTATGCCCTCTGGCAACAGTGAGTCATGGAAAGTCTTTCAATTTTTTTATAAAGTCAGGTTTATTGAGATGTAATTTACACATGGTAAAATGTACTCTTTTTAGGTTTACAATTTATAGCCACCACCACAATCAAGATATAGAGTATTTCCATCACTCAGAGGTTCCTTTGCGGCCCTTTGGGTTAATCCCCTCTCCTCACCTCAGCCCCTGACAGCTACTGATCTGTTTTCTGTCCCTATTGTTTTGCTTTACCCAGAATGTTCTATAAATAGAATCACACAATACATAGCTTTTTGAGACTGCCTCCCTTCACTTAACAAAAGTTCTTTCGAGATTCATTTGTGTTGTTGCATCTCTCAGTAGTTTCTTTCCTTGCCGAGTATTAGTCCATCACATGGATGCAGCGCAGTTTGTCTACTCATTCACCACTTGATGGACGTTTGAGTTCTTCATGGCAATTATGAATAAAAACGCGATAAACATTCATGTAAAAATTGTGTAGGCATATATCTTTATTTCTTTTAAATATCTTAGAAGTGAGATTCCTGGGTCATATGGTAAATATGGTTGACTTTACAAGAAACTGCCAACGTGTTTTTAAAATGGCTGTGTCATTTGTCAAGCAGCAACGTATGAGAACTCCCATTGATCTGCATCCTTGTCAGAACTTAATATTGTCAGATTTTTAGATTTGATCCATTCTAATAGGTGTGTAATGGCATCTCATTGTGATTTTAATTTGCCTTTTCCTAATGACCAAGTCATCTCATGTACTTATTTGCCATCCATCTCTCTTCTTTAGTGACATGCCTGTTAAAAATCTATTGCCCATTTTTTATTGAATGTTTTTCTTATTGACAGTACTGTTTATGCATTATTTTCTCTACACACAGGATACTAGTCCTTTATCAAATATGTTTTGCAAATATTTTCTCTTCCAGTCTGCAGCTTATCTTTTTATTTTCTTTCAAAGAGCAGGATTTTTAATTTTGGTGAAGTCTAATCTATCAAATTTTCCTGTTATGTCCAGTGCTTCGGGTGTTGTATCCGAGAAACCTTTGCCTACCCCGAGGTCATAAAGATTTTCCCCTATGTTTTCTTCTAGAATTTTTACAGTTTTAAGTTTTACATTTAGTTCTATGTTCATTTTAAGTTAATTTTTGCATATACTGGTAAAATGTTGTTTTTAATAGAAAAATAACATATATATATGGAAAAGGACACAAATGATAGGTATATGGTTCCATGAGTTTTTACCAACTGACCATGTAATCTGCATTCAGAGAAAGAAACAGAAGATTACACCTCAGAAGACCTCCTGAACCCCCTTCTATGGAAAGCTTTTAAGCAGAAAGTCTCTCTCTCAGAGAACGGGGAGGGAATCTGAAGGCAAAACGTTCACTGTTGTGTCTTCTCCTGTTTGTTCTGGGGGTAGATCTTCAGTACCTACCGCACTGCTCTCCAAGGCAGGTGCTTCATGTTTACTGGGAGGACTGATCTTCTATGTGAATGTTACAGCCCACAGAGTAAAAATCAGGTCTAGAGCAACCCCACGTAAAACTCAGAAGTTAGAATGTAAAAACCCAAAACATGGGCTTAACTAAAAATAGAAAGAAGATACTGACCTGAGCTTGGACTTTGAGATGGCTTGACTGAAAGAAAGACAAAGAGAATATGATTCCTGTTAGGAAGGATTGAGTGTACACTCCCCCATCATTTCAGCCAAGATATCGTAAAAGCCATGCACAGAAGCCTGGACTCAGCACCCTGTTCCCCACAGCAGGCCAGCTGGGTAAGAGCGGGAGCAGGGGGCGAGGTGCTGCCAGTGCCAGGTGGGCCAGGCTGAGCACTCCAGGGCCCAGGCAAGAGATGCCTCTCAGCCAGGATCCCTGGGCAGCCCTGGCACAGGCGGCGGTGCTGGGGTTCTTCCCTCCCCACTCCCACAGGCCCCAAAGTGAAGCCAGCAGGCCTCTCCTGCCCGGAACTCAGCTACTCATCTCAACAGCACCATGAGCTGCTACTATAGCAAAAGGAGCACCGGACTAGGAGTCCCCGCTCTGCTATTCATTAACTGCGGGAGTTTGGGCAAGCAGCACACTTTTTTGAGCCTCCGTGTTCTCATCTGCAAAATGGAGAAGACAAACCCATTCCCTGCCTACTTCACGATATTGTAGGGAGGGCAGGGCAAGATAAAGGAGGCAAATTCACTTTGTCAACTGCTGAGTGTTCTGCCCAGAACACATCACTATTATGAACCTCTGCCAAGGAGAACATCAAATCCTTTACAGACAGAAGACCTAAAGGACACCAGCGAAAGCAAACTAAACAAAGCTGCACAGGGCTGCCCCAAAGCAGGCAGTCCTCTGCACACTCCACACCACCGGTCCCCACGCTGCTGCAGCCCAACTCATCTAGAAGAAAGCCAACAGGTGTTAATGTGATGGCGTCCCCCATCGTTGAGAGAGGGTGGTGCAGGGCTCCAAGGAAAGAGTGCTGTGAGCAGAGGAGGGCGGGGCCGCACTAACCAGCTGCTATGCATGAGGCTGGGAGAGCCCGTGAGGAAAGGAAAGCTTAACCAGGCAGCACATTCTAGTCAGCAACTCTGCCACAAGCTCTGCTTCAAAGCACTGCCGCCAGCCCCAGCCACGGAGGGGAATCGGGCCTTTACCCCCACCGCCGACACCCCGAGGGCCCAGCCTTGGCGGCTCCTCTTCTTCTCCACCAGCACCTAGTGGACACAGTGGAAGTGCCTGTTAGGCGGCACAGCCTGCAGCAGGCTCCACCCCAGCAGGCAGGCTGCTTTGGAGGAGGGGGGCACGTGAAATCCAGGGGGTCTGGGGGGCAGGGACAGGAGGCGGCGCAAGGGGTCCAGGGTGAGCCCACCCACCCCTCCTGCACCTGAGGCTATGGCCCCAGGGCTCCACTGAAATCTGGGGTGTCTTCCTCATATCTGCTTCTCTAAGAAGATGGGAGACACGGAGAGGGCAAGTGGCCTCCACACTCACCAGAGACTTCCACAGCAGCCCTGGCTCTCGCCTTCTCCACTCACGTTCTCCGTGTTCACAGACTCGGTCTCGCTGGTGGGCATGCTGGCTGTGGGGAGGAGAGAACGCTTTAGATGGTGCGCTGGAAGCACTGAGCACCCCGGAATGAGACAGAGGCAGATCTCTGCCACCAGGCAGACCCTCCGGGAACCCAGCAGGAAGGTGAGGAGGGCACTGAGGGGTCCTCAGGGGCTGGGTCAGCAAAGGGAAGTGCTGAGAAGTCAGGCACCTCCACTGCAGGGGCGCCTCTGCTTCTGTGACCTGCCAAGAAAGCCCACAGAGTCCCCCGTCAGGAGGAAATTCTGTCCATCCAGACACTTCCTAAGAGAAGCAGCCTAGGGACCAAACTGAACCCTGTCACTGTGCCTGGCATCAACCTATCCTGATTTCCGGGTTTGCACGGAGGCCACCAAAACATCTCAGCCACAGCTACATCTGTGCTTGACCAACAGGGGTACCCTAGAAAATCTGTGAATAGACTGAATACTTCATAAACTTACTACTTTAAATATATTGAAGGAGAGGAGGCATTATAGATGGAGGAGTGCGTGAAGTTACCAAGCGCAAAATCTTTTAAAAAACTTAAGACTTCTACTTGTTTTTAGTTAATTTATCTGATGTCTAAGTTCCATTGAGCTTGTGAAGCCAAATGCAGAAGGTGCTCACCAAAGAAGCAGGCACTAGAGCATCAAGAAAGGATAGCCTCATGGGTGGGAGGTTTCTCCCAACCAGGGACCAGAGGGGAAAGCTGACTATGGTCCCAGTGCCACCAGGGTCTCAGGGCAGGTCTCATTCCTCCACAGCAGGGTCCTGAGCAGCGTAAATGGAGGAAATGTGGAGATGTATCTACTAGTGTCAGGAGGCGAGGACCCATCAGAGCTACCACCTGGCACATGGGCGTTTTTTCTCATCCACTTGATCCAACCCAATAAACATCATGAGCACATGCTGGAGAGCAGATGGTGAAGGAGGTGTGGGGCACAAAGAGGGACACGGCCCTGCACCTACCCTGGAGGACCAGTAGGAGAGGCAACTCCTCAACAGATTTCAATTAACTGTGGAAAGAGCTACCGCAGGGGTCTGTGCAAAGAGTTCCGGAAACACCGTAGTGAGGAATGACTGTTTCTGCTCTGGGGTTAGGAGAGGTCAGCGAAGATGGAAACGTGGGAGAATCACCCAAACACAGGTGCTACTTTTCCCTGATGCATACTGTGAACTGCAGAAACTCTTTTTATAGACCTGATGGTGCCAAGAGGAAGGCCTTCCCCCGTGGGCTCTGCCCATATGGCTCCTCTTAAGAAGGATGCCTCAGTTTCCTCTGCAGACACTGGTAGTGGTGCCTGGAGTGCTGTGGTGAAGACTCTGAGGCCAGCCCAGGCACTGAGGGCAAGGGGCTGGATCGAAGGCTCCGTCTGTGCAGCTAGACGTCTGCCGACCCTGCTCAGGTGAGAGACACGATATGAACAAGGATGAAGGTGCGCCTGACTCAAAAGGCCCAGAGATCTGAAGAATGACTTTCTGAGACACCAGAGAAAATCCCTTTCCTTCTGTGAGCACCCAAGGAACGAGGCCTGCCTGGGTAGGAGTCTCAGTGATCAGATCCAGGAACATTTAGGCAACGGTTTCAAAAGCGAAGGGAAAAGGAGCAGAATTACAGACCCATACCACCCTATTCTCATAGAATGAGCTTTTTCTTCCTTAGTTAAGTCAAAAGAAATCAACTACAAACTTTGATTCACTTTTTCACTACTCCATGCAAAAAAAACAGAGACAAAAACAAACAAACCAAAAAAACCCCACAATCCGATCACAGGAAAACCTTTAACAGAAAGCTCCATAAAGACACACACACACACACACACACACACACACACACACACACACACGAAGCTGCTCCTGCAATTCTCTTTTCCATGACTGTTCCATGCTCTGATTTTAGCAGAAAGATTAAAAAACTGTAAAATTCAACAAAGTTCATTGTCATGGGTTCCTCCCATAGGTTCTAGCTTCTTTTCAGGAAGAAGACAAAGAAAATCACAGTGGAAGACCCTTACAAATACGTCCCTGAGTCATCTCTGAGGAACGTTTTTCTTGGTGCTTATTGCCGCTGCGGAAGGGACAGAAGTCAAGAGCAGCGTGACACGGGGGGTCCTCCGGTCATTAGGTCCTAACTCCGCCCTGGGCTCCGGTGAGGGGTAAAGTGGTGGTGCTAAGGCCACACTCTTGAGGGTCAGTTCCATTTCTAACAGTTTAATACTTCATGGTTTCAGCATGAATCATACTGTAACTGTTGTCATTGTTCCCCAAAGAGCCAACTTCTTATGAACAGGCTAAATCTTGGTGGCTTTTCACTCTCTGGGGCCATGTCCCATGATGATATCAATAGCTGCTACACTCATGACCTAAAGGTTCATTTTCCAAACAATCTGATCGAAACAGATAAATTACATACTGCCTGCCTATGGGAAAGGGGGACATCACTTTGTATTTCCGGCTCTATGCCAACTATTAGTGAATGAAACGTACTAGCTCCTCCTAGACTAAGTGGGAGGAAAGGTAAAAAATAAAGCCAAACTCCCCAAACAGGAGGGGGAAGCCTCCTGCTTGCCAACTCTGTCCTTCAGTTGAGGTAGGACAGTGGCTAAGAGCAGGCTCTCAGATTGGCCAGGTCTAAATTTAACCCCACGTTTGTGACCGATCTTCTCCAAGACTCCATTTTCTCATCTGTAAAATGGGAATACCTACTCACAGGGCTGTTGGCAGAACTAAATGAGGTAAGATACACAGTGGGTCATCCCAGAGAGGGTCCACAGCATTGGGCAATCAGTGAGGCTCAAAATGGCAACTCGATCATCTCAGCAAAGCTCTGCTGGAGCTCCCTGGAAGCAAAGCGACACTCCCTGTAGAGTCCAAATCCAGCGTCACTTCACCCTGACCACTTCTCTTGTGAACAATTTTCCACACTCCCCAATCAGCTTTGGCCGCCACTCTCAGTTTGCATCTTTTCTGTCTTAAACTAAGTTGTTATGGTCTAACGTAGCCTGTTGTAGGAATAGCAGCTTTTCTGTCAGGATTATTTGACAGAATATTAAATTATTTGACAGAGCCACGGACCCATAATAAATCAGTCTATTCCAGAATGATGTCGCCAAGACTGGGGAGGAGGAGTGCAAGAGGGAGGAGGAGGAAGAGGACAGTGATTATGCTAGAATTTGGTGACCTCATTTGGTCCTGGAAATGGATCTTGATCCAGCCCCTAAATCTGAGCAGACGGACCAGCTCTGACAGGGGCCCTGGCAGCCTCTCCATCTGCCCCAGCCTCTCACTCCCGGCCACAAGATAGCATTTCCTTTTCCAAAAGGACAGAAAATATCAGGCCCAGTGGGCATAACCAGTGACCTTGTTTGTCCATTAAAACATTTCATCCTTCGCTTGCATGAGGATTCATGTTTTTAATGTTAATAAATTGATATGAGTTTCACTTCACTTGGCCTCAATGCGATCTCATCTACATTTAAAAAAAATCAAGACAGGAGAATCACAGAGGGTTAAAACAGGAAGGGCTTCTGAGATCACATGAACAAACCCTGTGATTTCACAGACGAGAGGACTGACCGACCTGCCTTGGGACACACAGCTCAGACTTGAGCAAGCTCTCCTGCTTCCCACTCAGCATTCTTCCCACCAGGCGACCCCACCCCTGTGGTTTTGGTATATACTTAAATATACTGCTACATATTTTGGTATTGGTATATGTTAAAATACGTATTGGTACATTCTTAAAATTCCACAAATCAAAAATGTCCAAAAACCAAATAGGCCTATTATCCATCAGCCTTGGTCTGCTGTCCTGATGGCCTTTATTAACCTCTAGAAACCTGGCATATAGCAGACCACCTCCAGGAGATCAGTCTAAATGGGGATAGAACAAAAGTCCAGGTGCCATGCTGACTATTGGGACTTCATAAAAATACAAGTAAGTGAACCCATGGGCAAATTACTGGAGCATGTGCCCTTCTCCCTAAGCAGCTACCAGAGCCCCGTGGCTGCCCAGTGCAGGGCGACCGCTCTGTCCCTGCAGTACAGATCCAATGCTAATTGCTGACAATGGCTAGGCCTCATTAGGGAAGCAGGCAGAGACACCCCTCAGACTCCACCATGTCACCTACAGGCACTCGCCCCTCCTGCAGAAGCCAGCCAGCCAGGGGGCCATGCGCATGCAGAGAAGCTATAAGTCCTTTTCCCTGACACATTCCAGGGAATTTTAACACTTTGTTAACGAAGTGCTTTTTTAAAAATATAAATTTAACAACTATTTTCAGTGAACGTGGGTGAAACAAGGCATTAGGGCAAGCCTGTCACCTGTAATGGGATGCTAACTTGTACTGCATTTTTCCTGCTGAAAATCTGGGGAAGCTCAGGGTCCACGCTCTGCAATCTCTTCCAGGCACTGGGCTCTCTGGGGAGAGCTGCAGGGTAGACCCTGAGGCTTCAGGTGTGGGTGCACTGGGAGGGGCCCTGCGTGCTGCTGTGGGCGAGGAGGTCATGGATCACAGATGGGAGCCGCCCAGGCCTTCCTGGGCAGCGGGACTGGGCCCCCACTCAGAGTGCTCTTTGTGGATGGTGGGTCAGACGGTTTCTCTTGAAAATCTTGTCATGGGTCCAGAAGTCATCATGGGCAATGCCACACAAAATAATCCAGGGAAATACACTGTTTCTCAGGCCAGCACAACTACTAGCATTTTCACCCACGTGCAAAGATTCCTTTAACTACTTGCGGTGTGAAGGACAACACACTTGTCAACCAAATCTGCCTGGCTTTTGAATTCAGAGAGAGATCAACACATGCGCACACATGGTGAATGAGTCTGCATGTGGGTCCAAGCGGGCAGCCCCCAAATTATGTTCACCGTTAACAGGCACATCAAAATCTCAGATCAACTTCCTTCAGTGATGGAGGCTACGGAGGTCACAGACTGGAGAAGAGACGTCAGAGAAGTTTGGTCTTCGTCATGGGTGACGCGGGGACAAGTCTCTTTTCCTCCCAGG